AAGAATGGCGCAGGAGGATCTCAGAGCCCCAGAGCCAATAGATCTAAGTGATGAAGAAATAGCAAAACTCTCAGACGCACAGTTTAAAACATTGGTGATCAGGATCCTCACAGAACTGGTTGATTATAGCCACGAATTAGACAAATATATGAAGGCGAGACTAATTGAAATGAATGGAATTGCACAGGAAACCAATAGCAATGAAAAGGAAACTGGGACTCAAATCAATGGAGTGGACCTGAAGAAAGCAAATAATGGCCAAACAGAAAAGAGTCAAGAAGCAAGAATTTGAAGAAATGAGGAGAGTCTTAGGAACCTCCAGGACATCTTTAAATGCTCCAACATCCGAATTATAGGGGTACCAGAAGGGGGAAAGGCACAGCCACCAGTGGAAAACTTATTCGAACAAATAATAAAGGAGAATTTCCCCAATCTGGCAAAGGAAATAGACTTCCAGGAAATCCAGGAAGCTCAGAGAGTCCCAAAGAAGTTGGACCCAAGAAGGAACACACCAAGGCACATCATCATTACATTAGCCAAAATTAAAATGAAGGAGAGAATCCTAGAAGCAGCAAGAGCTAAGGGGACAGTCACCTATAAAGGAGTCCCCATCAGACTGTCAGCTGATTTCTCAAAAGAGACCTTACAGGCAAGAAGGGGCTGGAAAGAGGTATTTCAAGTCATGAAAGCCAAAGACCTACAACCAAGATTGCTCTATCCAGCAAAACTTTCATTTAAAATGGAAGGACAGATAAAGTGCTTCTCAGATAAGATCAAATTCAAGGAGTTCATCATCACCAAGCCCTTATTATATGAAATGTTAAAGGGACTTATCTAAGAAAAAGAAGTTAAAGAAACATGAACAGTGAAAGGACAACAAACTCACAGTTATTAACAACCACACCTAAAACAAAAGCAAACTAAAAGGTCAGCTAGATCAGGAGTGGAAACATAGAAATGAAGATCTCAAGGAGGGTTAGCAACAGGGGAGTGGGAGGAGGAGAAGGGGGGAGAAGGTACAGAAAATAAGTAGCATAGACAGTAGATAGAAAATAGATGGGGGAGGCAAGAATAGCATGGGAAATATAGAATCTAAAGGACTTGAGACACATGGTCATAAACTAAAGGGGGGGTAATGGTGAGGATGAGGGGTAGGGTGGAGGGGAATAAAGGGGGAATAGAACAACTGTAACAGCATAATCAATAAAAAAATTTTTTAAAATAAAATAAAATAAAAACAAAAACGGAAAAAAAAAAAAAAGAAAATCAACATAACAAGTGCTGGCCAGGACGTGGGGAAACTGGGAGTCCCCTACATCCATGCTAGAGAATGAAATGATGCAGCTGCTATGGAAAACCAGTTTGAAGGTTCCTCTAAAGGTCAATAATACAGTCACCATGTTACCCAGGAATTCCATTCCTAGCTACAAACCCAAGAGAACTAAAACCCATGTGCACCCAAAAACTTGTACATGACTGTTCATAGAAGCATTATTCATAACAGCCAAAAATCACTGAGGGATAAATGTCATGCAATGTTTGGATAAGAAGTCCATGTGCAGTGGAATATTTTTCAGCTTTATATAAAAGGGAATGAAGTACTGACATATGTTACCAAATGGATGGACTTAGAAACATGCTCAGTGAGAGAAGCCAGGCACAAAAGGCTATATGCTGTATGATTCCACTATGTAAGATGTCCAGAATAAGCAAATCCACAGAGGCAGAAGACATTAGCTGTTTCCAGTGGCTGGGGAAGTGGTGGGCAGTGGGGTGGGGCGGGGTAGAGTGTGATGGCCAACGGGTGCAGGGTTTCACCTGGGATGATGAAAATGCTCTGAAACTAGTTGTTAGTGATGGTTGCCCAACCTTGTGAATATACTAAAAACCAGTGTGTTATACACTTTTCTATAGCAATTGCACTTTCTTTATTTTGGGGTAGGGGAGAATTCTGTGGAAACTACATGAACCTGGTGCTTTTGGGGCAGGCAGGAACTCCTTGACATTTCTGTGGTAACTGTGTTGTTTAGACTTTCTGTCTTGCCTAGGGTGAATTTTGAGTGCCCAAGGATGCTGAGCCAGAACCAGCTTCCTGGGTGTCAGATAAGTGTAGCCCCACAAGTCCTCATGCCCTGCAGGGAGCCTTCAACAGGGCAGGCAGCGCTCTGCATCTGCCTGCTGTCTGGGAATTCATTATATATTTTTAAATGTTGAATTTTATGGTGTGCAAACATCTAAAAAAGTTCAAATCCCAATAGAAAAGACAAGTTATGTATAGAGAAACAAAAAATAACACCATATTTCTCACGGGAAGCAATGCGAGTTAGCAGACAATACAGCTGGATCTTTAAAGTAGGGACAGAAAAAGCTGTCCTAGCAAAACTATCTTTCAAAACAGAACCAAAATAAAGGCATTTTTTCAGACATACAAAATCTGAAAGACTTCCAGCATACACAGTCTACAAAAAATGTTAGAAGATGCCCTTCGGGCAGGAAGAAAGGGGAAGTGGGTGGAAACCGGGACCACATGCTAGAGGGAAGAGCTTGGGAACAAAGATGTCATGCATGGCGCCTGTGTGTACTCCTGTCTCATTTAAGATAACGGACTTGTTATTGTTACGTTTTTAATCGTTTTTTCCCCTTTTTATTTCCAGAGAACTGCAGATTCACACACCATTCTGAAAAATAGTACAGAGACCCCATATATCCCTCACCCAGTTTCTGGCAAGGTTAACTTTTCTCTGAACTATATAAATGGTGACACTGATCTACCTGCCAACCTGGTTCAGACTTTATAAGGTTCACATGAACTCCATCCAGTATGTATGTTGTTGTGGACTGCTCTGCCTGGTTTCAGGAATTATAACCCTCTGGCTAAGGATGAGTCAGTGACCTCTGGAACGTGAACCGCAGGAGACAAAGCTTGTCTCTGGTAGCAAATGCTGCCTCAGTTTCCTCCCTTCCCCCAAAGCATGGTCAGAAGTCCTTGACGGGTAAGACCCCTCAGAGGAGGGGCAACCTAGACCAGACTCGATCACTTGGGAGGCCATCATGGAAGGACTCAGGGAGCTGCAACAAAGAGCAATGGACTCTTGCCTCCCGGCTTTGAGATAGCCTGAGTCCCCATGTCCCCTGGAAAAAGCACTTCCTGGCTCTGATCCCCTTAAGCCTGAATACCTGATGGGGAGAGGTGCAGCTCCTTGCCTTGCCAGAGCATGTCCCTGGGGAAAATCTGGCATCACAAAGACTTCCTGATAAACCTGTGAAATCTGCTCTGCTAAGAGTGCTTTCATTCATATGTTAGGGGTTTGAGCAGGAAACCCTAAAACTCTGTTCCTGACAGACTGACTCATAGTAAACCCTCAGATTTCTTTGAAATGTTATCTACTGTTTGATCCTTGCCACCCTGTATTCTTGTGTATTACAACCCAATAAAAGCCCTTGGAGGAAGGGGCTCAAGGCCTTTTTCCCCTGAGAACTGGCTACCTCTCCTCCCCAAGCAGATCACATAATGTCTCTGTCATGTTTACTCTCATCCGTGGCACACAGGGGAACTTGTGAGGAAGTCGCCCCCACAGTATGTTTTCATGCAATAACATGCAGTTTTATGACACCTGTTGTGTGTGTTAATAACACGTTCCTTTACCTTGCTGAGTAGCACTCATAGGACATAGTTAACCATTCACTCCCTGAAGAACATGTGCCCCTTTCTCCCTAGTTTTTGGGTTATTAATAGTTTTTCGCTATTAGGAATAAAGCTACTATGAGCATTTGGGTAAAGGTTGCATTATTGAGTTGAATAATTATTGAGTTTAACTCAAAGGTTGAATTTGAGTTTTCATTTCTTGAGTAAATGCCCAATAAAATGATCGTTGGGCCATATGGTAAGCACATGATTAGTTTTGTATAAATGGACACACTGCATTCTGGAGTAGTTGCACTGGTTTCCCCTCCCACCAGCAGTCCACGGGGGTCTCCTGACTTCACCCCTCCAATGCAGGGCTGGCAGCACCATTTTTATGTTAGTGACCCAGGACTGTGCAGAGGTGTCCTGCTGGGCCCTGATTTGCATTTTTCTGTCAGACAACTTCCACACACTTATATAACATCTCCTTGTCCTTTCCCATGAAATGTCTGTACACACTCCTGTTCTAACTGGATTTTTATACATTTTTTACACTTTAATATTGAGCATTCTTTATATAGTTTAGATAAAGTCCTTTATAAGATGTATGGTTTGCAGATATTCCTTCCCAGCCTGTAGCATTTCATTCTGCACACCAGTCTTTCTCAGAGCAGAAGGTTTTAACTCTGATGACATCCATTTTACTGTTTTTTTTCTTTTACAGGTCAAGTATACAATGGCCTTTCCTAGTCCTAGGTACTGAAGATTTTCTCTTATTATTTTTCAAAGTTTTATATTTTACATATAGGTATAAAATCCATTTGAGTTAATTTTTATATAAGGTCTAGGTCCTTTTTTTTCCTTATAAATGTCCAAATTACTCCAGCATCATCTGTGAAATTCTATCCTTCCTCCACTTAATTGCTTTGCACTTTTGTCAATAATTGTCAGACGCATTTGTACGGATTGTCACATGGTCTTTGCTGTGACCATCCTCTATCCTGAAGCTGTCTAGTGCCCTGCCAGGAGCCACCATTTTAGTGACTTATTAGCTAAGAATTTCAAGGGACTTAGGAGCTGTGAGCCAGGAACCAGAGATGGGACCTGACATGTATTCCTAATTGACCACAGTGCCATTGATCACCCACCACATCCCTGGACACCTCCAAACCTCCCTGGGTCCCTCCTCAGCCCTCATGCTTCTCAAGAAGTTAAGGTCCCCACCCCCACCCAAGGGGGCTCCCAGAGAGCTCTCTATCAGCCACAAGACCCTGAGGCCCCAAGTCTGGACCATCATCCAACCCCACACTACCCCTCCCAGCCAGGAACCCCCAGGCCACCCACCCTGGGTCAGCAAACCAATGACCACACTCACAGTCCACTCGGAGCTCAGCCTTGGTGGAGGATACACCCATGCTGTTCTCAGCCAGGCAGCGGTAGACACCCATGTCTGCAGGTACCACAGCCGTAATGATGAGCTGATGGCCGCCCTGCTGGTCATCACTGATCATGTAGTGGTCGTCTTCCTCCAGTACCCTCCCATCCTTGAACCAGCGTACGCTGGGCACTGGTTGACCCGTCACCACGCAGTCGAAGCTCACAGGATACCCATCCAGCACCTCCTGGTTCTGCAGCTCAGTCAGGAACACTGGGGCTGAGAGGGGTGGGTGGGGCATGCACATTAGCCCCAGCTCTGGCCCCCCAATCACCTCAGCTTTTGCAGGTCCACACATGTGACCCAACAGCCCCCATTCCAGTGAGAGCACTTGACAGACCAGATGGCCAAACAGTTCCTCCCTCCTCCCCATTCTCCCAAGCCTCCCTGTGGCCAGAAGGACAGCACAGGGAGTGGGGAGGAAGGGACATGGACGGAGGACCATGGCAGTGTAGCTGGGAGTCCAGGGTTTGAGGCCTCACACTCAGAACTGGAGGGAAAAAATTTCAAGACACAACACTGTAGGTTAACAACACCTCTTCTGTCATTTCTAGGGGCATACAAGTAAACAGTGGGGTGTGTTTTTAATTAATTTTATTTGCTGAAGTGGTAAATGGGGTGCGGACCAGACCACATGGAAGCCCACCTTTTATATAGATGGCATCTGAATCCCTCTTGGAGAAAGAAAACAGAAGTCAGCATTCCTTCAGCTGGTTCACAGATAAGAACACTGAAGCTCTGATAGGCTAGCTGGTAGGAGGCAGAGCTGTGGTGCAGATGGAACTCTAACAACCCCAAAGCCAGGGCTATTCCAAGCTCAGTGGGTGACAGCTGCCAGGGGCCAGAAACTGCAGCCTTGACCTCTCAGCTGACCCTGATCACCCACCAGCCTTGTCCCACCTCTCCTACCCTGCCCCAGGCAGCTTACAGACTCACCGGACTCTGTGGTGCACAAGCTGGGCACTGGCTCCAAAGGCGCCACAGGGATGAGGGACACCTTGGTGATGCGTATTTCCACCCCCTGGTGCCCCTCCTCTGACAGGCTGATGTCCACCCCAATGCCCAGCATTTGGAACATCTCCTGGAAGTGGGTAGCTGCCCGGCGGGCCTCAGCCAATGTCTTGAAGCGGATGCAGACCGAGTGTTCATCTTCTCGGTATGTCTGCCAGTCCCCAGGTTGCTCGGACTCTGCTAAGCCCTCATCCGCACTCAAGAAGATCTCCTCATCTGAAATCTCTGCTGGGCCCTTGGTGCAGAAGAGATGGTGGAGCCGCCGGGCTGCCCGGCGGAAGGCGTCATCCAGCTCACTGCCAGAGGAGCTCTCAGCCTCACTCTCTGTCCCGCTGATGACCACCCGGGCGCTGTGGACTGCACGGCCAAACTTGCTGCTCACCTGGCAGGTGTAGCAGCCAGCATCAGCTTGGCCCACACCAGTGACCAGTAGAGAGCAGGTGCCATCCTTGAGCTGGTCAATGTGGTGGTGTCGGCCATCAGTCAGCTCCACACCATCCTTCAGCCAGTGAGCCTGCACGTCTGCCTTGCTGGATACTACACACTCCAGACGCAAGACATCCCCCACCTGAGCTTCAGTGTCCCCAAATGTGCTACGGAATATGGGCCCCTCCTGTTGCCTCATTTCCTTCCGCACTCTGTAGCCCTTGAAGGCAGCCTGGATCTTCACAGCTGCCTTGTCCAGGGATGGGTCGGCGAGGCCCTCACTACTCCACTCTTCTGGCGGCAAGCACACTGTGGCCGGCTGCTTCTGCTGCTTCTGCAGCTTTCCAGAGGGGGCTGCTGGGGCCCTGACCTGTGTGCACAGGTCATGATAGGAAATCAAGGCCTGGGTCAGGGAAAGGACAGGCAGGGGCACTGGGGGCGGGCTGGAGGCTGAACCTGGCCTGCACCCTGGCTCTGGCAGGCCGCTCTGCCTCTGCCTACTGGCCACTACACTACCTTCACTGAGGCTGGATTCCTGAGTGCACCTGTTGTCACATGGATCAATCCCACCCTCACTGACATCACTTCACACAGTCACCAGACAGACTCACAGAGTTGTGAGGAACACTACTGAGAGGCCAGTAACAGGTGGATGAATTGGATGGGTGGATGGACAGATGGTGAATGGATGGATGGGTAGATGGGCAGATCAGCAAATAGATAAATAGATGTGTAGATAGATGCTTGATAGTGGGATAGATGGATAAACAGTTAAGTGGATGGCAGATGCATGGATAAACAGATGATGGTAGATGGTGGATGGATAAATGAGTAGTGATAGACTAGGCAACCGCTCATTTGTGATAGTGGTGATAGTGAGGGAATGGGTAGATGGGTGGATGGTGGATGGTGGATGGTGGATGGTGGATGGTACATGGGTAGGTAGATGGGTGAATGTATGGACAAACAGATAAAGATGAACATGGATGGATATGTTGTTGGGCAGTGGATGCACAAATGGATATGTGGATGTCAGATGGATGGATAAATGATTGGTGATGGACAGATGGGCAAACGCTGTCTGGCTGGATGGGTTGGTGGGTGGTGGACGGTGGATGGATGGTGGACAGTGACCTGGTGGCTAAGATCTGAGACACCCAGGCCTCCCTTGCAGGCCAGGCTGGAGGCTCACCTTGCTGGCCAGTGGAGAGGAACCAGGCTTCCCAGCCTTCTTGAGATAAGTGACCAGAGAAGGAGTGCCTGCCCGGGACTCATCGTCAGAGCTGGTATGTGACAGGTCAGCCTCGCCTGTGCGTGCCAGCTCATCAGCTGTGGAATAATCCTCCGAGAGGTCAGGGGCCGCGTCCTCTGCCTCCTGCTGCTGGTATAGCAGGCGCCCATCTTCCTCTGGCAGCTCGCTGATGGAGTCTAGTGTGGGCTCTCGGCTCATGCGGCGCTTCCGAGCCAAAGCCTCCCACAGCAGGTGCAGGTCGCCTTCCTGGGCTGCCTCGGGGGGCAGGCTGGGCTGTGCAGGGACCTCATCCCCAGATCCTGGGGTCAGCACCACTGTGGGCAGCAGGGAACTGGTCAGCCAGGTGGGAACACAGCCATGGCCCTGGCCCTCCTGGGGTGCCAACAGTGTCCCCTCAAGAGGCCCCTGCTACCTTCCTGGCCCCAGAGAGCTCTGAGGACATAGTTTTCCCAGGGTTTCAGAAGCTCCAAACAGCTGTCTCTGAGACTCAGTTTCCCCTGGTCAGGCCTGGGTGGAGCCGGGTGGGGGGAGCTTGGAGGCCATGGGAAGGTTTGGAGGGCAGAGGGACTCAGAGAACAGGAGCCCGAGGACTGAAGGGACCAGCAGTGGGCACTAAGGGCTATGTGCCCAGGACCTGGGTCAGGGAAGGGGTGCAGCCTACGATGCCCGAGATACAGGTTCTGACATGAGGCTGATCCATGCAGGGTCTTGGCCTCTCCCCAGCAAGCTTCAATCTACTTTGGTGTAAGGTGGGCGTCCCAAGTGGACCACCTGCTGTGGAGGTCACCCCCACCCCAGGGTCCCTCCCACTTTCCCACCCCCCAACTCTGGGCCCTGAAGACACACCCTGGAAGGTGATGGTAGCGGCAGAGATCGGGTCCCTGGCCAGGCGGCAGCAGTACTGTCCCTGGTCCTCCGCCGAGAAGCCACGGATCACCAGTGTCTGCCGCCGACCATGGGAGATGGCCTGGAAGCGCCCACCAAACTGGATGCGCTCCGTCTCCTTCAGCCAGACAACCTCACCAGCCTCTGCCACCTCACACTCCAGACACAAGTCCTCGCCCGCTACCACCTGACGGCTCTCAGGAGAAGGGGGCACAGGCGCAGGTTCCGGGGGCTCTGCAGTGGATGAGCATGTCAGCAAGGACTTGCCCTACCCCAACCCGCCCACGGCATGGGGAGGCCTGAGTGCTTCAGGCTGGACCCCTCCCTTCACCAGCTGGGACTAAAGTAACAGCTCACCTAGCCTCACCATCTGGGGCAGGTGCACGGGCTCTCCGGCCCCTGCAGGGCCCACTGCTGCCACACGGAAGCGATAGGTCTCCCCGGGGGCCAGGCCATCCACAATGCACTCAGGCCCAGGCACCAGCTTGTGGCACAGCCGCCACTCGCCTGTGGCAGATGCCTTCATCTCCACCTGGTAACCGCAGAGGCCTCTGCCACCATCATTGGTGGGTGCTGCCCAGGACAGCGTCACAGAGTGGTCACTGCGCCCCACCACCTCAGCATCCTCCGGGGGATCAGGGAGGCCTGAGTGGTGGGGTGAAGGGGACAGTCAGTGTGGCACCCTGCATCTGCCCACCTGGGGCACCACCACTTGCACCCTGGTGTCTAATCCTGGGGCACAGTGAGAGTGCGGGCAGACCACCCCCAGACCTGTGAGTAGCAGTATCGGGTGCCTGTCTTAGGAAGTGTTTCAGTCACAAAGAGACTGTGTATGCAGCCCACCTTGGGTGGTGGGACGCAGAGAGCCCCCCAGCTTCTGGGGCTGGAACCTACCCACCCTACCCACCCACCAGCAAGTCCAGCACCCAAGCAGCAATAGGCAAGTGAGCCACCCACCCAGCACGGTAAGCCGCGCAGAAACCACAGCGTCACGGGCAGCGAAGGTGACCTCGCCAGCGTGGTGCAGCTGGGCACAGTGCAGCAGCAGTGTGTGGTGGCTGCCATCTGCGGTAACTGTCCAGTTGGCATCATCAAGTTGCACTGCTGCCCCGTTGATGTACCAGGTTGCCTCGCCCACCAGCACCACCTCGCTGAGCGTGCAGCTAAAGTGGGCCTGGCTTCCCATCTGCACAGCCATGTCCCTCGGGGGCTCCAGGACCTCCAAGCGCCAGCCTGTGGGGCAAGGGCCAGAGCATGAGCTTGGGTCCAGGAACCATGTTCAAAGGTTCGGAGACCCCCAAACCACCCTTCTCACCACCCCATCCTTCCTCTACCTCTTAGCAGAGGCTGCAATTCTGAGCCTCAAATGGAGGCTCAGAATCAACATCACAGCCCTTCCTGTTCTGCCCACTCCCTCCGCAACACAGTGCAATGTCACGGGGAAGGGGTCTGAGAGACCCTGCCCCACTCTCACCATGCAGCCCAGGCTCTCTCCTTGCAGATCCAGCCTCCAGCAGCAGGGCTGACAGAGACCCACAGCCACACCCCTACCCCTTTGGTCCCAATCTGATCCCCAGAGTCTTGCAACAGTGTTTGGTAGAAAGGGTCTGAGAGGCCTACACTCCACCTGCCTGTGGGCCTACTCAACTCCTGCACCTCAGGAAGAGTATCCAGTGGGAGGAGTCGCAGAGATCCCTTGCCCACACCCTCACCTCTGACGGTGAGGAACGCAGACGTCACCACATCTCCTGCCAGGAAGGTCACCCGGCAGCTGTCCTGAGGCCGCAGGTTTTTCAGCAGGAGCAGGTGCCTCAGGCCATTCTCGAAGTAGACCACCTCAATGTTCTCGGAGCTGTGCACTGGCTTGTCATCCAGCAGCCAAGAGTGGGTAGCCACCTCTGGCTGGGAAAGCTGGCACTCGAACAGGGCTTCGCCTCCCTCCAGCGCCTCGACGTTCTCCAGGCCTCGCACCACTGTATTCTTGGCTGGGGGACAGAAGGGGTGGCTTAGAGCCTGGGAGCCTCTACCACTCAAGTCCCCCCACAGTCAAAGGGACCAAGACATAGGTTCAAGCAGCGGGCCACCAGGAGGGGGCCAGTGGTGTATGTACACAGAGCCACCATGCATATCCTTCAAAGGTCCTGATTCCCAAGCTCGTGGTCAGAAAGGGGTCCTCCCTACCTCACAAGTGAGAAGCCTCACAGGTGTTCCTAAAACTCACCAGAGCCACAGCAGGGCTCATCACTGGCCTAAGGCTTCCGCCTCTTGCCCTGGCTGCAGGTGGAGCTCTGGATCCGACCCTCTGTCTCCCAGCCAACTCTATCAGGCCTTCCGGGCTGCTCCCTCACTTGCTGGGACCAGAGACACCTTTACCCACATTCCCAACCCTCTGTGGTTCTCTCCTACAAAGTCTGTGAGTCTGTAATAAATGGCTACATGTTTTTCATGGAAGCCAGGACCTCAGTGCTTGGCTGTGCTGGCTTGCCACCTCCTAGTGCCATTCCCAGGACAGGTGTCAAGCCAAGAAGAGTGACATGAGGGGACACTAGAATGGGAAGGAAGGATGGATGCATGGCGGACAGCAGGGAGTCAGGCCGGTGGGGTGAAGGATATGAGGGGCCAGGTGGGGAGGTCAGGCAGGAAAGAAGCACCAGGTGACCCAGGATGGGCCTGGGTACTAGGGAGTATCTGGCCTAGACCCACACAACAGCAAGGAGCCCGTACAGTCACTGAGCCAGAGGCCAGGGCCCACAACCCCAATACTGTCTGGGTACATGGCCTGGATGGAAGCCACAAGCGGCCCCGGTGCTCCCTCCAGCTTGTTTGCAGCCCAGGCCCACACCTGCAGGCAAGGTGGCTGCTTTGAACAGCAGCCCAGTGACTGAAGGGGGAGACTGTCTCAGAGCAGAGGACATGTGGGCCATCCACATCCCTCCACCAGACTGCCCTCCCACCCTGAGCTGCTCACACCACAGACCAGACTCACTTGTGGCCCAACCCCTTCCTTCCCTGCAACAGAACTGATGGGGATACAGGAGTCTGGCTGCAGTCTTCCTGATGCATGGCCAGGCTCCAGCTGACCCCTGCAGAGGCAGGGAGCAGGGGATGCTCTGGAGGTGCCGGGGAGACCACTGCAGGAGCTCACCCTTAGTTCCTGTCTGAGGATGCCACTGCAGCTTTTTTCAATAAAATCAAGGATTTTAAAGCAGCAGCAAACCTCGAGCGCCTGCTGGCCCCACTCCCTTCCAGTGCCCCCTTCTCCACTGGGCCCTGCCTGTGGCTGCAGGCTCTGCCAAGATGTCCGTGAGACCCAGCCTCCCCTCAGCCGCCACCCACTCCAGTCCTGGGACACGCTGCAGTCCCTCCCCAGAGCTCCTGTAACACTTTTCAGCAGAGATGTCGGGGGGACCACCACACAGGGAGAGGTTTCTGTTCATTCCCTGATATGCTTGCAAGCACCAAAAAGAGGTTTACAAAACTCAGTTGTTGAGCTAGTGAGTGAATGGGGTGGGGGTGACCTCAGGTGACCAGTCGTGGATGCTGGTATCACCTGCCCACACCTGCTTTCCACTGCGAAAGGCCTCCTGACAGCTCTCTCCACCTTTCAGCTCACTCACCACCAGGACTGGTTAAGATTTTCTCAATAAGAAAGTGGCCCCAGCCTTTCGCAGAGTGGGCAGCCCACTGCCTCCTGGTCCCCCAACTGTGTATCCTCTCAGGGACATGGGGCTTGGTATACCCTCTGAGTGACCAGCCTGGAAAGAAGGAGAGCTGGGATCTGAACACAGGGTTTGGGGACACAGCCCACCTAGAGCCCTGCTGAGGGCCCTGTGGCTCAAGCCTGCTCACTCACCTGCCCAGACACTGTTTCCCTGCCTGCCTCTATGTTCCCAGTGTTCTGGATGCAGGTTCTTTATGTTCAGCCTCTGCTCAGGATCTGTCTAGCCAACCCCGTCTTATCCGGTTGCTTGGGAAGGGACGCAGGTTTGGGTGGATGGGGTCAGGGCCCAGCCAGCTCCAGTAGGATCTATCTGCTTGGATCCTGTCTTTCTAGTACTGTCACAGTCATGCAGCACTGGCTGTCACTACCTGATGTTTACTCCATTACATCTTGGCTCAAACCATGCCTGGGGCTGCCTACCGAGGGGCCTCACCTTGCACTTGCAGCAGGGCCACCACACGGGTGCCTGCGGCCTCACAAGAATAGACGCCACTGTCGCAGGGCAAGGCCGGCCTGAAGGACAGCCTGGCCACGGTCCAGTCCTGCTCTAGGAAGACTCGGCACCCGTCGGCGCATACCTCCTGCTCGTCCTTCTTCCACATGGCCAGCACCGGCCGTGAATACTGGCAAAGGAGCTCGGCCGCACCGCCCTCCTCCACCGCCAGGTCCTGCATGGCACTGACCACCTCCACCGTGGGATCTGTCGGCCGACACGCCGGGCACGTGTCAGCCTAAGCAGTGTGGCCAGAGCCCACCCATCCTATGCAGTCAGTGGCAGTGGTTCATTGGCAAGCAAGCGAGGGCCTCTGGCAGGAAAAGAACTGGCCGTGGCAGCCCAGGACTAGCCCATGGCAACACAGGGCAAGTCTTGCCCCCACACACCCCATCTGTGGCAGATGGCCCCTGTCCACTGGGCCTCTCCTGCACTCTCTAACCCTCTGAGTTCTGGGGAGCATGCTACCCCAGCAGGGACACAACACTCCCTCCCAAAATCCCAGGGGCTCCCTCAGTGTTCACACCCTCTGTTGGGCACACAGCAGCCCCAGCCCAGCTTGTCCCTTTCCAAGGACCTCTCCAGAGGACTCCATCCAATCTCTACCTGGCAAAGTCATGCTCAACAAATGGCCCGCCCTTTGGACCTAGAGGAAATGTTCATTTGCTCTGCAATAGTGCAGAGGGCCTGTCAGCAAGCATGGCAGGTGGAGACATACCAAGTGACCCTCCCAGGAGCACATGACACACCCACTTGGAGTGCTCTGAGGGGACCCTGGCAGCCTACTGCCCTCCCTAATGACTAGCTCTTCCCCAAAGGAGCATGAGATCCCAACCCAAACCACAGCAGTGGCAGCAGCCACAAGCAGGGACAGGTCAGGCAGTCTGGGTAGGAAAGCTGCCCTCACCTCTAGGCTGCCCTCTGGGTGTGCACCTGACTTACATGCAGCCACAGAGTGGCAGCCAAGTAGCAGAAATACTCAGGACCCTGTGAATAGGTGGCCATGGAGTTGGCCTCTAGCTTCATGCTCTGAGCCAGGCCTTCTTTCTCACCCAGAAAGCAAGACAGTGACCTGCCTGAACACCCACAAATGGCACGTGTGAGCAATGCCAGTACCCAAACCCCTGTCCCAGGAGCCTGCAGGAAGCATGCAGGAACAGCAGGGGTAGAAGCATCAGTGCGGGCAGGGTTCCATCAGCTGGTACCTTTGACCAATAACTTGGCTGTGGAGACCAGGGACCCTGCATGGTAGGTGACGGTGCCTGAGTCAGCAACCCCCAGGCCCGACAGTGTGAGGGAATGGAAGGTCCCATCACGCTCGTAGATGGTGCTCTGGGGGCCATCCTGCAGTAGGGTCCCATCCAGCCACCAGTGGGCCTTAGGCCCACCTGCACGGGACACCTCACAGGAGAATGTGGCCACCTCCCCTGCAAACACGTCCACGTTCTGCAAGCCACGTACCAGGTATGGTGCTGCCTCTGCACAAGAGGGCAACAGGAGGGCAGGATGGAGTGCCCTGGGCCCACATGCTCATGTAGGGGTCTACCATTTGGGGGATCCCTGGGTCTAGAGATCCAACTAGGCCAGCTATCCAACCCTGCTCATGGAATAATACACTCAGACCACCCATAGAGAGCAGGCTCAGCATCCCCTGCAACCATGCCCCTCTCTGGCATATACCCAGTTTCACAAAAGTATACAGAAGACATGCATCCATGGCTTCTTCAACAAGTAGAATGAACCAGCCCCAAGCCCCATGGCTTCAATCTTTGTCAGGTGGGAGGAGAGTCTGTGGGACACCACTCTGAGCAGGTGGGATCTGCCTCAGGGAATAAGCCCTCCCTCCCTGAAAGTGTGGTAGCAGATGCTCCTCCTATTCCCAAAAGACCATTTATCTTAATGTCTCCTTCGGTGCCCCTGGCCCTAAGATTCCAGTGCCCTAATGCCTATGGCAACTGCTTCCTACCCCATCACACAGCAGGCCTGAACCAGGGGCTTCCCAGATGCAGCTGCTGTGCTCCCATGCCTGCCCCAGCCAGGCCCTCCTCAGAAGCCCCCCCAAGACCTTCCTGGGCATGCACCACCGAAATCCCAGCACCAGCCCTCCACCTGCCCCAACCCTCTCCCAAGAGTGTACATCTGACAGTCTCTGCCTGCTTCTTCAGTTCCCCATTCCCAACTCCAGCACCATCCCCATTCCCAGCTCCAGCACCATTCCCAGCTCCCAAGATTGCCCATATACCACCTACAAGGACACCCATTAGCACAACCCCATGCACATTGCCTTCCCCCAAGGACATGGCAGGGTGTCTGTATGCAGGCCAGTTGGCACAGGATGTCTAACAGGGACCAAGGCACAGCCTTAAGCAAGGCCCATAAGGGCCAACCCAGCTCCATGTCCCCCTTAGAGACACTCACTCTGATGAACACACAAAGCCTTTCCTGGTCTGGCCTTATCAGGACACCTAGGTCCCTATCCCTCTCCCACCACTCAACTTGGGGCTTTTCCCAGACCCAGAGGCCACAGAGCTGGCTGTGTCTGTCCACCGCTGAAGACCCAGGACGTGTTTTGTTGCCAATGCCCAATTACCCCTGTGGACTGGGGACTCCCTGATGGCAGAGCTGCACCCTGGCTCCTCTCTAGGTCTGAGACTTAGACAAAAGTAGAGGCTTAGAGGGTTTGTTCAATGGATGGTACGTAGTGAATAAATGGGTAGATGGATGAATGTATAGGTGAAAGATTAATGGCTGGGTAAATGGGTGATAAATGGATGGATAAATGACTGAATGGATGAACTGATTGATGAATGAATGGATGGTGGATAGATGGATAGGTGGATGAATAGATGAATGAATGGACAGATGAATAATGGTGAATGATGGATAGGTGGATGGATGGATGGTGGATGGATGGATAAGTGAACAAGTGGATGGCTGGATAAATGTATGGTGGATAAGTGAATGAATGAATGGGTAGTTGGATTGATGAACAAATGGATGGTGGATGATAGATAGATAGATAGATAGATAGATAGATGACTAATGATGGATGGGTAGATGGTGAATGGATGGTAGATGTTCAATGAATAGATAATAGATGGATGGATGAATTGATGTTACACTAATGAATCAATAATGAAGGATGATGGTTAGTAGATAGATGAAAAATGGATTGATGGTGGATGGGTAGATGGTGAATGGATGTTACATATTGGATGAGTGGATGATGGATGATAGATGAATGGATGGATGGTAAGTGGGTTGATGATGTCTAACAGTTGGTTAGACAGGTGAGATCAGTGTGAGAATCAGGAGTGGGACAATAAGAGAAAGATGCTCAGGAATGACCAGCTCTGCAGACAAGGTATAAGCCAAGTTGAAGGTCCTTGAAATCCTGTTTACATGCCTGAGGCCAAGTACACTATACTATTACACCTGTTAAGTATGCACATGTGTGTTAAGATGATCTATGTCATAGGATTAGCCATACAGAGGGTAGCCATACAGAGGGCTTCCTCCTCAGGACCCAGCCTCCTTCCCCCATGGCCCCGATTCCCATATCCCCCCTGCAGACAGCACTAACCCCACACAAGGACCCCACATGCACACCAGAATCTCTTGATCTGATCCCCACCAGCATACCTCAGGGGGCAATTCGGTTCATGGCTTTAGCAGTCATGGGTTGGAAAATTGCACGCCAAGGCAAGATCACTGCTAGATGATGGGTTTCTGACCTCACCACCCCCAACAGCTCTTTAAGTAGGGAAGAATATGGAGACATTGCCTTGCCAGGCATGGGATGGGGACTGCCCACCTGTGACCTTCAGCTGGGCCTCTGAGCTACATGATCCCACTCGGAAACTGATGGTTCCAGCATCCTCCAGGGTCACCTGTGGGAGGAGAGATGGAGTCTCAGCCTGGCAACCCATTTGGACTATCTTTTCTGGCAAGTCCCTGGGGGCAATCCAGCTAGAGTTGGAACTGTCCCCTCCCATGGGTCTGGAAGCATGTGGATGGAGGCAGGTCCCAGGGTCCCACCTTGTGAAGAGTGAGCGAGTGGACTGTGCCTTGCTCCACTGTAATGTCATTCATTTCATTGGCCTGCAGCGGCACCCCTTCCAGGGCCCAGCAGGCCTCCTGGCTAGAGGCCCTGGACAGCTGGCATCGGAAGTGGGCGTCCTGGCCCTCACTGAGCTGCACGTCTTGCAGGGGCTTCAGAATGGTCACCTTGGGGGCTGCACCAGGGGAGTTGTGGCATCAGTCTCAGCACTGGGGATGCCCCATTGTCAGGAGCACCTCCCAGTCCTGGAGTCTTCCCCCAGGACCCCACCCATGTGTGGGGCTAGTTCCCAACCCCCAAACAGGGATGCTTGTAGTCTGCTTCTGTCCCTGAACAGGGCCTGGATGTTCTAGCTCCAAGTGTGGTAAGAGGGGCAGCCACCCTCACCCTCCACCTCAGACAGTGAGCCTGCATCTTCAGGTGTCATGCCCTTTAGCCGAAGTGTGTGGATGTGATTGCCCTGCATGGCCACCTCTGTCACCTTGTTGTTCTGCAGCAGCAGAGATGCTGCTGGTCCCAGAGATGTCACTGGGCACCTGTGGCCTCTACTCTCAACAACTTGCAGCTGAACCCCACATCCATTACGGTCTGTAGTTCAGTGGCAACCAGGACCCACAGGATGGTTATCTCAGACTCTGGGGTGTGGCTGAAGGGGGCCTTTTACCAACCAGGTCTGAGCACCCCAGCGAACCTCCCACTCCCCCTCCTCCAAGAAGCATTCTTGGATATTCTCATACTCTTCCTGCCATGGCCTCTATTGCCTCACATGATATTTGTCAGCCCATTTGCTATAAACACAGACCCCTGGGGGCAAAGATGGGCTGAGGGCACTTCTGTTAGGAGAAAGTGGGCAAGAGGTTGCAGGGTGGTAAGCCGCCTCTGTCCATCTCCACCCTGTGGTCAGCCCTGTTTTGGCTGGGACATCAGGGAGGCAAGACATTCAGACAGACAGGCAGGGGCCCAGAAGGGGCAGCTCAGGTCAGGCTGCCCCACCTGCTGGCTGGGGGCAGGGGGCAGTGCAACATCCAGGGGCTGCAGCCTTGGTTTTCCCACTGTCAACAGGTGAGTGGTGCAGAAATGAAGACAGCTTGTAACCTCAGGGGCCTGAGAGCCACCCCAGAACAGCACTTGGTGAGAGGGGGTCAAAGGATAGCTTTTAGAGAAGAGCTCACCTCTGACCTTGACAGAGGCCGTGGTTTTCTGGCCACCCACCACACAGGTGTACTCGCCAGAGTCCTTGGCCTCAAGCCCATGGATTAGCAGCTCACACATGACCCCCTGGTGATGCATCTCATATTTGGGGCCTGCGTGCAGCTCCACACCCTCCTTGAGCCACTGCACAGGGGCCCTGGGCTCCACTTGGCTCAGCTGGCAGCACAGCCGGGCCAGGCTGCCCACCTCCTGCTCTGTGTCCTGCAGCTCAGTCTGGAAGACAGGCCTAGGGGCTGAGGGGCCAGAAGGGGCACTTAGAGGTGCTGAGCATGGCACCCCCACTCCACTCCACAGGGCCTGAGGGGCCTGGGGGAGGCAGAGACCAGAGACAGCTCACCTCGGACCGAGAGTCTGGCGGTACTCTGAGTGTGGCCTGTGTCACAGGTATAGTAGCCACTGTCCTCCTGCTCCACACCATGCACCAGCAGCTCCACAGTCACACCCTCCTGCACCATCTGATACTTGGTGCAGGGGAAGAGTTGTAGCATGCCCTTGCGCCACTCCACACTGGCGCCTGCCTGGCTCAGCTCACAGCGCAAGCATGCCACCGCACCCTCATCCACCTCCTGGGCCTGTAGCTCCTGGAGGAACCGCACAGGTGCAGCTGTGGGGAGGGGGACATAAGGTCAACAGAACCTCAGGTCAGGTCTGCCCACCAGCCCTACAAGAGCCAGGGTCCCCCAAGATATAACTCCCGGGGTGGGACTGTAGCCCAGAGGGAACCCCAAAGCAGGTGGGGCCTGTGCTGAGGGCGGAGCCCACCTTGGGGCTCACCTGTGACAGTGAGGGTGGCGCTGGTGGCCTGGGAGCCACAAGTGCAGGTGTACTCGCCTGCATCCTCCCGGCACAGGTCTTGCAGTACCAGCTCCACCAAGCAACCCTGCTGCCGTGGCTCCAGGCGCTCACTGGCCTGTAGCTCCAAGCCACCCTTGCTCCAGACCACAGCACTGGGCTCCCACAGCTCACACTGCAGGCTGGCCCACGTGCCTTCTTCAGCCTGCAGGCTCCTCAAGGGCTCTCTGAATACCAGCTGTGGGGCTTCAGGGTGGGTGGGCAGGGAGGGCATGAGGTAAGTCCAGAGACCCAGCCAGGAGACAGAGCTCCCCACACCCAGTCAGCCCCTCTGAGAACCTAGGGCTGGCCTGGCCCTCAGCTTCACCCTAGCTGCCTAGCCACCCGAAGGAGCCATTGCTACAGGCCCCAGGAGACTGGGGAAGGTTTTGAGATAGTGGGCCTGGGTCTCCCTCAAGGGGAAAGAGGGTCTATGGTGGGAGCTTTAAAAGGAGCTCCAGATGTAACCATGTGAATATCATGAAGCTGCCATCCAAATGTCCATGGGCAGAAAGCTAGGTCCAACCAGGTCATCAGGGCCAGGGATCCCCTCAGACCCCTAAGACCGGGCGAGCTCTCACATCCTAACTAGAGGTTAGGGGGAAAATATAAGTACATTAAGAGAGACAGAGGGACACACTGGCATTCCAGCTGTATGTGAGACAGGTCAAAGGAGATGATTTAGATGGAGATCAGTACCTAGATGCCAAGTCTGAGACTATGCAGTAATAGAAAGCAGACAGGGGGTGGCCAAGATGGAGGCGTGGGTGGAAACATTGTGCTTCCTCGCACAACCAAGTTTAAAGGCAACAAAGTTTTAGTAACAAAAATGCAACCAAAACAGACATAAAATTGAACTGTACCAAAGTCTGACAACAACGAACCATTCAGCCAGACCGGCAAGAGGGGCGGAGCCAGTGGCTGGAGGAGCGGGTTGCAAAGGAAAAATCAGCCAGACCGACCCAGGCACGCAGGCATCGGTTGGCAGATCCCAGGTGTGGGGTGGCAATGGGAGGACCCAGTGAGGGCGCAAGGCTGACTGCTGTCACACATTTGCGTGCAGATAAACCAGGTAAAAAAAAAATGACAGATTGCACAGGCTAGGGCCTTAGTGATGGGAATTAAAGCCTAAAAGCACCAACTGGAGAAACTTTCGGGGTCGAGGTGCAAGGAGAAGCTCCCAGGCTCACAGAGAGTTTGTTAGAGAGACCCACAGGGTCCTGGAGGGAGGCCCACACACCTGGGGGCCCACACCAGGGGGGCCCCGTTTGCTTGTAGGAAGCAGCAGAGGGGACCAAAATCTGAGAGAGGGCAGAACAAATGCCATTGCCCCTCTCTGATCCCACCCCCACATACAGCATCACAACCCAGCAACTGGGTTGTCCCACCCTGGTGAACACCTAAGGTTCCACCCCTCATATGTAACAGGCGTGAACAGACCAAAACATTATGGCTCAAGAAGAACAGCTCAAAGCCTCAGAGCCAATACTTCTAAGTGACCAAGAGATAGCTAACCTATCAGATGCACAGTTCAAAACACTAGTGATCAGGATGTTCACAGAACTGGTTGATTTTAGTCACAAATTAGAGGAACAAATGAAGGCTAAACTAATTGAAATGAAGGGAAATGCACAGGAAACCAATAGTGATGGAAAGGAAACTGGGACTTAAATCAAGGGAGTGGACCAGAAGGAAGAAAAAAATGACCAAACAGAAAAGAATGAAGAAACAAGAATTTTAAAAAATGAGGAGAGGCTTAGGAACCTCCAGGACATCTTTCAACGCTCCAACATCCAAATTATAGGGGTACCAGAAGGGGAAGAGGAAGAGCAACAAGTGGAAAACTTATTTGAACAAATAATAAAGGAGAACTTCCACAACCTGGGAAAGAAAATACACTTCCAGGAAATCCAGGAAGCACAGAGAATCCCAAGAAGTTGGACCCAAGAAGGAACACACCAAGGCACATCGTCATTACATTAGCCAAGATTCAAATGAAGGAGAGAATCCTAGAAGCAGCGAGAGAAAGGGGACAGTCACCTACAAAGGAGTTCCCATCAGACTGTCAGCTGATTTCTCGAAAGAGACCTTACAGGCAAGAAGGGGCTAGAAAGAAGTATTCTGAGTCATGAAATTCAAAGACCTACATCCAAGATTGCTCTATCCAGCAAAACTTTCATTTAGAATGGAAGGACAGATAAAGTGCTTCTCAGATAAGGCCAAATTCAAGGAGTTCATCATCACCAAGCCCTTACTATATGAAATGTTAAAGGGACTTCCCTGAGAAAAAGAAGATAAAAGAGATGAACAGTGAAAGGACAGCAAACTCACAGTTATTAACAACCACACCTAAAACGAAAGCAAACTAAAAGGACAGCTAGATCAGGAGTGAACCATAGAAATGAAGATCACATGGAGGGTTAGCAACAGGGGAGTGGGAGGAGGAAAAGGGGGGAGAAGGTACAGAAAATAAGTAGCATAGATGGTAGGTAGAAAATAGATAGGGAGGAGGGCAATAATAGTAGGGGAAATATAGAATCTAAAGAACTTGAGACACATGGTCATAAACTAAAGGGGGGGGGAGTAGTGGTGGAGGGGTGTGCAAAGTGGAGGGGAATGAAGCAGGGGGAAATGGGAAAACTGTAATGTCATAATCAATAAAATATATTAAAAAGAAAAAAATAAAGCAAACAGGGGCAGAGGGAAACAAACAAGGGCCAGGAGGAGCTGAGTGCCATTGAGCACACAGTATGTGTGCAAGAGACAGGGAAGGAAGTGCTGTGCCTAAATGAGTCCCCATGAAGCCTCATGCAGTTTTTTACCTCTGATGGTGAGCGTGGCCGATGTCCTCTCCTGCCCACACACGCACGAGTACTCCCCAGTATCAGTCAGAGCCAGGTCCCGGATCTCCAGCTCACACACGGCCCCGTCCTGCCTCAGGCTGACTCTGTCCCCAGCTCTGAGGGTCTCGGGCCCCTTCCTCCACTCCACAGGGGCTGCCTTGCTCAGCTCACAGTGCAGGGTGGCCGTGGCCCCTTCTGTGGCCTCCTTGCTTTTCATTCTTCCTATGAACTTAGCAGGCGAGGCTGTGGAAGGTCAGAAACAGGGCTCATCATCCTCATCCTCCTACAGGGGGTGAAAGGGGCTCCACTGGGCTGCTTGGGAAGGGCAGGGCCATCTTACCCTTCACAGTAAGCATGGCTGAGGTTGTCTGGTCCCCAAAGTGACAGGAGTACCGCCCACTGTCATGGGGCTGCAGGTCCTGGACCACCAGCTCCAGTGTGGCGCCCCTCTGCCGCATGCTGTACTTGCCTCCTGGCCGCAGAACCTCATCCTCTCGGTGCCACTCCACAGGCACAGCCACAGACGACAGCTTACAACACAGTGTAGCCGCCCCGCCCTCCAGCACCTCCATGTCCTTCAGCCCCTCCTGGAACTGCACCGGCCGTGCTGCAGAAGGCACAAGTTCAGTTTGTCCTGACCCTTGCATCCCCCTGGGGCTCTCCTACAGCTGAGGAGGGCTGGAGGCACCAGTGTACTCTGCAGACCAGCGGGCCTCATCCCTTCTACATCAGGGGCTGGTAACATTGACCTGAGACCTCTGCCCTCCAGAAGGGGGAGCCACACAGATGAACAAAGAAGGTAGAGTGTTGTGAGCTGTAGTGTGACTCCCTTCACATACTGGAGCCCCAACCTGAGATCCTCAGATGGGGCTGTATTGGGAAATGGGACCTTTAAAGATGTGAGAAATGTGAAATGAGGTCACTGGGGTGGGCCAAGATCAAATTACTGGTATCTTTATAAGAATAGGAGACCAGGACATGGATGTACACAGAGGGACAACCATGCGAGAACTCAGGGAGGGGACAGCCGTCCACACACCAAGCAGAGAGGTTACAGGAGAATCAGCCCTGCTCCCACCTGGAACCCAGACTTCCACCTCTGTGGGTGAGGGAGAAATAAATGTCTAGTATTTGAGCTGCCCTGTCTGAGGTATGTGTCACTTAGCCCGGGCTGACAGAGGCTGATGGAGATGGGCCAAGCTAGCGGGAGGGAGACACAGAGATGTCAGAACACAAGACAAAGTCAGGAATCAAGTACAAAGGAGAATAGCAATGAGGAGACCAACAGAGAGCAAGGGGGCGGGGCTCTCAGCAGCAGAGACCCAGAGACAGGAAGCAGCAGTGACAGGGATGAGCTGCAGAGAGACCAGACAGACAGAGCTGGGCGAATCCCCCGCACCCTCCCCCCCACACACACAGAGACACCGAGAGGACAAAAGCCGAGAGGGAGACAGATGGGGTCCAGAGTCTCCCCACCCCTGAACAAGACAAAAACCATGGGCACCCAGTGCTGGTGGGGGCTCACCGTGGACCCTGACAATGGAGCTGCTCCAGGCACCCCCAGCCTCACACTTGTAGCGCCCACTGTCCTGCAAGGTGGTGTCAGTGATGACCAGCTGGGCGTGGTGGCCCTCACGGCTCAGCTGGCACCGGGCTGATACCCGCAGGGTTCGCCCATCCTTGGTCCAGTGCACAGGGTTGTCCGGGACAGTGGTCTTACAGACCAGGGTCAGATCCTCCCCCTCCATGACTGTGGCATCCTTGAGCTCCTGGGAGAAGACACTTGGCTTCTCTGGGGACAAAGAGGGGAGCACAGGGCACTTGTGGGCTCCACAGAAGAAGCCCAGGTGACACCCCAGGTCAGTGCCCATTTGTCTACCTCAGGCTGGGGACACAGACAAGGAAGGCTCTGAGTGGCTGTCCACGTCACAGGGTCATGGCCAGGCCTATGCCCTACTGACCATGGAATCATGTCTGCATACCTTGCACAACGAGTCATCCTGAAACCACCACACCCAGCTGCCCAAGTCCACCCTGGGATCCAAGGCCCAGCCCACAGCACCTTTTCTGTGAGCCACAGGACCACACTCTGTCCAGAGCCACATGGATTGGTCCCCACCGCAGCCCTGGGCACACAGCCCACCTGTGACCCGCAGCGTGGCTGAGGACCGCTGGTCGCCAGCTTCGAAGTGGACAGTACCCGAGTCTTTGAGCGCAAGCTGCCGCAGAGTGAGCACATGGCAGCCACCCGACTGGGCCTCAATCTCATTGAGCTCATTGGCATGTAGGGGTGTCTTGTCCAGGAACCAGTGGACGGGTCCGCAGTCAGCAGGGGAGATGCGGCACTTGAAGGTGGCTGAGGAGCCCTCCTGCACTTCAGCATCCCCAAGCTCCTCCACGATGAGTACTCTCTGACCTGCTGGGCAGGGTGGGCACATCAGGACCACACTGAGAGAAACAGGATGTTCCTCTAGACCTGGTGTGGGCTCAGGGTCAGAGGGAGCTGGCGACTGTAACAGATTCAGGGTGGCAAAACTAAGGAAACTGTAAGAGAGTCAGAGCTGAACTGACACAGTATTTGTTTTAGGTCCACGGAGGAGACCCAGCCCTGTCCAATCCTTCTGCGGAGCATAAAAAGTGACCCACAATAGCCCCTCCACAAGTCGTGTTTCCAGCCTGTCCATGACAGTGCCCCCGTCCCCAGAATCATGCAACAAAACCTAATCTTATATTAACAAAAGATACCAGAGTGTGAAAAAAAGTATGACTATGTTAAAATTTAAATCCAGTGCTTTGGAAGTTTGACAACGTGAATTGCTAAAAAAAAATTTTCTGCCAACTTAGGTAAGGGACATTTGGAAAAAGTGAATTGTGAAAATAGGTGTGCAACAGATTTCTCTCAGTTACAGGTGTCTTGAGGCTGTTTTATGCTGGGCAGCAGATACCAGACATTGGACACCAGACACTGGACGCTGGGTATCAGGCACTGGATACCAGATGACAAATACTGGGCACTGGGCACTGGACACCGGGCACCAGAAAGCACAGGTGGTGCATCCGGAGTTGACTGGTCGGCAACAAGAAATTCTGATTCAGGCACAGACACACAGAGTAAAGATGTTGGCCAGACAGGCTCACAAGTGTGTGTTTTAAGTTGTATAAAGAGCATGTTTTGTTACCATGTAACATCGCATTAATCGACTTCCTGGTTAAGTATCCGCTTTATTAGCCAGCAAAGCTTCTGCTGCACTAACTAAATGTTCGCACTGAGTTTGATGGACTCACCAGGTTTTCCCTGGAAAGCAGAGAAAAACCCTGAGTGAGGCCTTGTTATTCTGATCTCCTGCAGAGAGACCCCAGGAGGGGCCTCCAGCTGACCCCACCCTGGATATTGGCACTGGGGTCAGGAAGGCCAGGCTCAACCCTGCCAGATGCTAACATGCCCAACGGCCTGGGGCTGGACTCTAACCCATGCAGGGCTCCACTTCCTTATCTGTGAGATGGAGACAATGGTGAGCCTCACCCAGCCTGCCAGATACAAACTGCTGTTCAAACCTGGGGGACCTTCATGTGCAGAGGTGATACATCTACACGCAAATACACACAGAGCACATGTGAAGGGGCTCAGGCACGTACTAGCACATAGCAAGGGCTCCAGAAACACACATGCAGTAATAAATGAAGGCTGCTGATTCATTCACACAAGGTCCAAGTGGGAGGGCCACAGAGACAAGACCACCCAAGGCAACCCCTCTAAGAGACGGGGAAACCGAGGCTAGGCTTGTCCAGGGCCCCTAGGTCTGCTTTAAACAAGGCTTACACGGGTCACTTCACAGGCCATGAAATCTGTGCATCATGCCGCCCTCACCTTGCACCAGGAGCCGTGCCTGGGACTTTGCCTGGCCGATGTCACAAGTGTAGGTGTCGTCATCCGCCTTCTCCAGAGAGCTGATGGTGAGCCTCAGAGTCTTGCCCTCTTGGCTGGGTGCATGCTTCTCTGAGGCACGCAGCTCGGAGAGACCTTTGCGCCAGGTCACTGTGGCTGCAGGGCGCTCTGTCTTGCAAGTGAACACAGCCGTGCCTTTCTCCTCTACCCGCAGATCCACCAGCTCCTCTGTGAACCGGTTTGCCATTTCTGGTAGAAGAGATAAGAAGGGGTGAGGGTGAAGCCTGAAACTCTGTCCCACTCTGCCCCTTGGGACATGAGCAGTCCACCCCCGGCCTGCCCACACAACCTCAGGGACTGAGTAGAGCTCCTTCCCTCCGGACCCCCACCCTTTCCACCTGAGACAGCACAGGGAAGGCCCTGAGGAGTGGATCCATGCCATGCTGAGGGAGAGAGGCCCTGGGGGCTGCTTCAGAGTCTCGTGGGATTACCTTCCACGCGGAGGCTAGCCGTGCTCTTAGAAACTTCTGTCTCACACGTGTACTCTCCAGAATCCTTGATCGAGGCTGTGTGGACCACCAGCACAGCCCGAGTGCCCTCACTGAGCAGGTCATACTTCTGACTCTTGCGAATGGCTTTCCCTTCCTTCAGCCAGCGCACTGGGGCGCCTGCCCGTGACAGCTCACAACTCAGTACCACATCCTCCCCTGGCACAGCCCGCTGGTCCTCCAGGGGTTTTGTTATGTCCGCTGGCTTTTCTGAAGGGGGCAGAGGCAGCCTATGAAGCACAGCCATAGCCATGCCAGAGGCGACCATGCCAGAGGCAGAGCTGGCCCTTGGAAACCTTTAAGCTCTGGGGGCTGAGACCACAGACTTACAGCCTGAAACTCTAGTACCTCAAACCCAGGAGCTGCAGAGCCTTGGAATGCCAGGACCCCCACTGTCACAAGTGAGGAGATTTTGAATGGGAGATGTGAGAGCACAGATGCTTTCAGCAACATTCAGAGCCCAAGACTCAGAGTGTGGCGGTGGCTGGTGCCAGCTGTGAACCAAGCTTCACTGATCTGCACCCGTGTTTATTCTGGGAGCACAAGCTCAGTGATTTCACTGGCTTGGTGACCATGTGCCCTGGAGCTACCACAGTAGTTGGACCACAGACGGGAGACAAGAAACCCTGAACAACTAGAAATAGCCAACATCCCAACAGGAGCCTCTGGGTCCCCACCAGTGGCTAAGGGAGACGGTCCCCAGAGACACCCCCTGGCAGGCTGCCTGGGGAGAGCCCAGACTCGGTGCACCGAGACGCCCCGTCTGCCCTGGGAGCATGGTGCTCACCTCTGACGATGAGTGAGGCCCTGGAGGTGAGGCCCCGCACAGTGAAGACCACCTCCCCGCTGTCACCCGGCACCACCTCTTGCACAGCCAGGGTGAACTTTCGGCCCTGGCGCGTAGCCTGGAAGCGGCCAGAGTCACCCACTGTCTTTCCGCCGACTGTCCACGTGGCAGTGTCGCCTGTGTCCTCATGGGACAGGATGCACTCAAAGCTGCAGCCCTCACCTTCTAGCACCTCCACCGTCTTCAGCCTCTTGGTGATACCCACGTGCAGGTCTGTGAACCATGGAAGGCAGCTGTCACACTGGCTGGGCCCTGGATGCCTGCCTCTCAAGACCAACACCATCGAGCCCCAAAGTGTTCCAGAGGCTCAAATACTTGCCCTCCCCAGCCCCCCAGCAAATGTGCCCTGGGCCTCCAGCTGGCCACACCCTGGTGTTTGGATGACCAAGAGCTGTGAGCACCAACCAGAGTGGCTGCCTTCCTCTCTGCTATAGAACAAGGGGCAGAGAAAAAAGCATCAGGGGTTTCACTAGTTCACAAGCTCTGGAAGAGAAAGGACAGCCACCTTGAGTGAAGGGACCGTTTAGCTCTAGCATAAACTCACTGCACCCCCCACCTTTCCTGCCTCATCTCAAAGCCACCAGATCTCAGGGACCCACCGCGGATTCATGGAGAATAGGCCTGTCATGAATAGACAGCATGCTAAAATAGCAGCCATCTGGTTGGGGAACAAGACCCAGATTGTGGCCGTGGCCTGGGAGCCCTTCCCAGGCATCTCCCCCCATACACCACGGCCTCTCTCCCTCCCCACCTCCCAGAGACTCCCTCGATGGGCCTCACGCCTGCTCTCACGCATCCCCTGGTGCAAATGGATGTCTCCGGGCCCCGTTGGAACCTGAGTACTTCGTGACTCCATCAGGCACGGCCTGCCCAGTCTTCCGTGCTTCACTCCATTAACGTCCTCCCACCGACCTGCCCGCTGCACCTGGACCTCCTAAAGACCATGACAAGCCCACTCTTCCCAGAGCCTGCCTGACCTCTCTTAGCTCACGGGAGCAGCCCAGCAGCCTTGGTTTAGGAGTGGGCGGGGCCTCGGGAGGTGGTACCCTGAGCCAAACCCAGCCACGCACCCATGCACCCACGCACCCTGTACGTTGACCTGCGCCCGGGTCTCCTCAGTGCCTAGGTGGCAGGTGTACAGGCCCGTGTCATCCTTACTCAGGTCGTGCACCACTAGACCGCGTGTGCCCGCCGTTTGCAGAAAGTCATACTTGTCACTGGGGCCCAGCTCTACGCCATCCTTGCGCCACACCACGCAGGCGTCGGGGTCAGAGACCTCACACTGCAGGGCCAGAGAGCCCCGCTCCTCCACAGACACATCATCCAGCGCCCTCAGGAACACCACCGGTTTCACTGCAGGACAGGGTATGATCAGGTGAGTGAAGAAGCTGCCACCTCTGGTATTGGGGACCCCTGGGGGAACCCCCACAGATCCCACGGGGACCCTCACCTCTGACCTCCAGGTGAGCAGAGGCCGTCACCTTGGGGGAAGAGGCGCACACCATGCCGGTGTCCGACCGCCTGACCCGTTTCAGCACCAGCGTGTGGCGGCGGCCCTTGTGGGTAATTTCGTGGAAACTGTCATTGTAGAGGGGTGTCCCATTGAGCGACCACTCCACCTCTTCATCCTCATGGGAAAGCTCCAACGAGAAGCAGGCACGACCCTCCTCTGTGGCCTCTACGTCCTGCAGTGGCTGCGTCACCATCACCTCCCGCACTGCCAAGAGCACACAGGAAGGCTCAGCTCACGCCACCGCCACTTGCCCCAAGGTTCTCCAGGTGGCCCTGTACCCCTGTCACGCACCTTCCACGGTGACTTGGGTGCTGCTCTGGGCATTGCCGGCCTGGCACCGGTAGACGCCAGCATCGGTGGGCGTGAGCCGCAGGATGCGCAGCTCTGCCATGTGACCCTCCAGACTCATTTTGAACTTGTCGGATGGCACCAGGGGTGTGTCCTCCTTGTACCACTGCACGGCCTTCGGGGGTGGTTTGAAGTCACAGGACAGGACCACTGACTGCAGCTCTCGTCCAGTCTTAGGCTCCAGTGGCCGGGTAAGCACCACAGGGATGTCTGAGCAGGAAGAGAGAGCGCAGCACTGCAGGGCGGGCTGGGCCGAGGAGGTGAGGGAGCCCCAGAAACCATGGTCGGCTACCCTGGTCCAGCACCTCATCTGCAGGAGTCCCTCCTTCCACTCACAGGCCAAGCAGCTCACCTGAGACGACCAGGTGGGCGGTGGAGCGAGACTTGCCAATGGTGAAGTGCACTGGCCCGGTCATGGTAGAGCAGGTGCGCCGTAGCGTCAGCCGGTGCACTGTGCCTTCCTGCTCCATGCCCACGTCTGCCCCAGCCTGCAGCAGCGTCTTCCCTAGCAGCCACTTAGGCAACCGAACAGATGGGATAGAGGTCTCGCACTCAAACCAGGCAGGGGCGGGCTCCATCACTGTCATGTCCTGCAGGCCCCGCACGATGGTGATGGATTGCTCTGTGGGCAAGGGAAAGGTCATCACGCAGTTCTGCAGGAGGACTGCTGCACCCCCATTCTTGTTCCTTCCTGGGGATAAACTCTCCCCCTACACTCCGTGCTCTCCCCTCCCCCACCTCTGGCTGCCTCCAAGTATCAGGGCCAATGACAGGGCCCTAGCCACATCCCCAGGCACAGGAGATAGCTGTCGCCTTGCCCCTGGGCCCTGCCTCACCTTCCACAAAGAACTGGGCACTTGTCTTTACATCGCCAGCATCACATGTATAAGTGTCCTCATCATTGGGCTGCACGTCATTGATGACCAGCTTTCGGTAGAGGCCATCACTGACCATCTCGTACTTGGGTCCGGGCCACAGTTCCACGCCACCCTTGAACCACCGCACCTGGGCGCTGGCCCGTGACATCTGGCACTCAAGTATGCCACGGTGCTTCTCCATGGCGATCTTGTCCCGGAGTGGGCGCAGGATGGACACTGGCAGCTCTGTGGGTGAGGCCAGGAGGGGTCAGGGTGGGCATTCAATCACCTCAACCCCCTGGGATTAGGTTCTCTGTCTATGCAGCCCCCATCCAGCCAGGTTAAGCCAAGCGTCATGCTCGGGGCTGAGACCCTCTGTACAACTGATCACAAAAAAGGTAGGCGTGCCCACACACGTTCGCCCCTTGTGCCCCTTACTGCACCCCCTTGCTGCCCCCACATCTGCGCTGCCCTGGCCTGCACATCACTGCATCCCAGGTGCTCACCTTGCCTGTCCTCAGCCACCCCCCCCCCCCCGCCTGGTCTCCACTCTCTCCTGTCATCAAGGCCATCAGCCTGGCACCCCTGCTTTCCAGCACCTGCCCAAGTCCCAGGAGGAAGAATTTGCTGGTACCCTCACTTTAAACAAAGGAGGGCTGCCTCCCCAGAGCCCTGTCTTCCTGCAGGGGAGACAATACCTCTTTCGCTCCTCCTGGGTCACCCATCCTGCCAGGCAAACATTGGAACAGGTGGCTCAGCACATGCGTGTTCTCATTTCGTGTCCAGTCCATGCCTTCCCCTGAGGCCCCTTACCTCTCACTCGGAGCTGAGCTCGAGATTCTGCATTTTCGGCCACAAATCGGATTTCTCCTGCATCTTCCACCAGGACCCTCCGGTAGATGAGTGTGTATGTCCTCCCTGGGGACACAGACCACTCAGCACCGGGGGAGGTGCCTGGGGGAGAGGGAGAGGCCCTCCCGCAGCCACTCGCTGCCCTCACACCTTCCTGGCGGATGCGCACGTTGTCACTGGGCCGAAGCTTACTGCCCTCCCAGAACCACTGGGTTAGCACCTCGTCATGGGAGACCTCGCAGGAGAAGGTGGCACTCTCCTTCTCTGTCACCTCCACATCCTCCAAGGGCCTCAGGATCTGGACATTGCGGCCTGAGGCATGAAGAGAGACCCTGCCACACTCTGAGACACAGAGCTGTCCACCCCCACCCCCATCCCTAGTTTGCTGAGTATAGGAGGGGGTCATACCAGAGGGCAAGTACCTTGATGGGGGACACAGGGGACCAGGAGGTCTTTGCACCTAGCCCTGTTCTCCCACTCTGCCCAGCCCTCACCTTGCACCTTCAGAGAGGCCGAGGTCTGAGCCTCATGGGCATCACACACATACACGCCCTGGTCCCCAAAGGCACACTGATAAATGATGAGGGTCCGGCAGGTACCCTGGGCTGCCATGCCCACTGTCTTGCCAACCTGCAGCTCCACACCATCCTGTAGGGTACAAGGCCAGGTCAGGCACTGGGAATGCCTACCCAACGGTCCTGCTCCTGTCCACCCACGGGGAGGCGTGAGATGGAGCAGAAGGGTCCACGAACAAAGGTACCTTCAGCCAGCGCACATCCACATTGGGACGGGACAGCTCACACTCCAGGGTCACTTTGTCCTTTTCTGTGGCCACAACATCTTTCAGCAGGCGGCTGAACCTCACAGGCAGCTCTGGGGAGTCAGGAGAAGGAGATGAAAGGCAGGTCCCGGGAGGTGCCCCAGGCAGAGGTGGAGGGAGCTGAGCTGGATGAAATCACTCAGCTGGTTCTAGGAATGAATGCCTCTCTCACCCCCAGGATTCCACCTCCCTGTCCCCACCTGCCTCCTGGGCCACCTTGGGGACAGGGATGAGCGTGCTCTCGAGCAGGTCCCTCCCTGCTCCCCACGCACCAGTTACCACGAGCCGAGCAGATGTGTGCACGCCCTCAGCTTTGAAGGCAATGAGACCACCGTCCTGTGGCCGCAGCTCAGACAGTGTGAGTGTGTGGATGGGGCCTTGCACTGCCAGGTGGCACGAGGGCCCTGGCTTCACCCGAAGGCCATCGCGCGTCCAGCTGCCCTCCACACTGGCATGAGACAGCTCCACCTCCATGATGGCTGAGCCCTGCTCCTGTACCTCCACTGCTTGCAGGCCCCGCAGGAGCCGGACCTGGCGCACTGCAGGGCAAACACAGGACAGGTGTGCTGCTGCACCAGGACGCCCTCAGGCCGGCCCTCCTTCTGCCTTCCCCAGGGCCCTCAACTCAGCATGTTGCCCCAGAGGGGAAGGCCCACTTCCACCTACCACAGGAGGATAACTACTTTCCTTGGAAGGCCCACCTTGCCACCATCACTGAATGCCCCTCCAAGTTGGTGGTCCACCCCCACCCTCGCTTTCCATCCCCATCCCAGGGAATGTCTCCAGTGGGAAATCCACTCTTCTCCTGCCCTCCCCCGTCCCTCCTCCATCCTGGGTGCTGGCCCCCAGGCCCAGATGCCCTGCAGCTTACTTTCCACTGTGAGCTTAGCCTGCGTCTTGTCATCTGGTGTCTCACAGCCATAGAAGCCACGGTCAGCAAAACCCACACTGTGGAGGACCAGGGAGTGACTCGTGCCCTCTGCATGGATCTCCACCTTCTCGCCTGGGGCCAGGACCATGGCGTTGCGTGTCCACTTGACCTCTGGCCAAGGCCTAGTCAGCTCCACCACCATGGTCACGGAACCCCACTCCTCCACTGTCTGTGGCTCCAGCTTCTTCTTGAACAGCACAGGAGCCTCTGTGGCCAGGGAAAGGGCAGTCACACAGCCACCGCCACTCAGGGAGGCCAGGCACAGAGGGTCCCCATTCACCCCAACCCCAGAGTGGGGCCCTACCACACTCTGATTGCAAGCGGGACAAGGCCTTAGTCACACTCAGGGCCCAGCTGTACATCTGCACAGGTACGCTTTTGTGGGGAGAAATGGAGACTAAGGAGACTTCTCCTTCCCCAACCCACTCACACCTTTTGCTCTCCTGCTCTGAAAAACCCTGCCATGCCCCGGTGCCTGGAGCTCCTAAATGTGGCCAGTGTCTAGCAGCCTCGGGACATAAGGAGCTGGTGAGACAGGTGGACTCTGAGCCCCCAGACCCTCAGCGTCAGCACCTCTGCTCCACTAAGACCCCGGGAGTACTTACAGGAAGGAAGAGAAACACACTGGAGTGCACCTCCCAGTCCCAGGCTGCGCTATGACCTCCCCACAGTGTATCTGCCTACATTACTCTTACTCAAAAATCTGCAATGGCATACCCTCAGGTGACACCTGGCTCATGCCAGCACAATTTGGCTTCAGCAGAGCAAAATGCATCCTCATCTCCTGTCTCTGCTTCACTGGCTGACAGTTATATTCCCCCCACATCGCCACCTATGAGGCTCAGACCAGGTACACTTTAAAGCAATTTACTTTCTACCCTTCAGAGGAGGTGTCCAACCCTTCGGTCCCACCCCAGTCTTCTTCTCTTTGCAGCCAGGAAACCCCCGTAACCCCTGCGATCAGCCAGAGGACCTGGCCGCCAGTGAGCAGCAGGATGCCGGCCGGGAATCAGCTCATCCAGGAGGTTGTGTGCAAAGCCATGCCCGCCCACCCCCACCCACACACACACTCACCTCGGACCCGGAGGACAGCCGAGGATGTGACACCCTCAGCCTCCGCGGTGATCTCCCCTGCGTCCTCCAGGGCCACACAGGAGATGGTCAAGCTGTGGCTGGCGCCGCTCTGTGATATGAGAAACTTCTCGCTGGGCTGCAGCTGGACGCCCTCCCGGAACCACGTGACGGCTGCGTCGCTGGGGGTCACCACACACTGGAAGGTGGCCTCAAGGCCCTCCTCTGCAACCACAGTGCTCAGCCCGGACGTGAACTTGACCTCGCGGGGGACTATGGGCAGGAGCTCCGTTTGAGAGGTGGGCAAGAAGGGCGAAGCCCCACCAGAAGGCACTGCAGACAGGCGCCTCCACCGTGAAGCCGCCTGGGAAGCCGAGCTACCCGCGCCCGGTCTGCGCCCGCTGTGGCTACGTACCACAGACTGTGAGCTGGGTGCTAGTGCGGTCGTCGCGGCTCTCGCACACGTATTCGCCCGCATCCTCCACCCTGAGGGCTGACACGGTGAGCGAGCGCAGAGGCCCCACGGCTGCCATCTGGAAGCGCTTGCCCGCCCGCAGCTGTGTGCTTCTGCAGCGCCACAGCACCTCCGCCTGCTCCGGTCTCAGCTCGCAGGTCAGCGTCACAGTGCCACCCAGCTCCCCGCTCACAGGCTCCAGGGGCCGGCAGAACTTGGCAGCCACCTCTGTGGAAGGCAAAGGATGTCAGCGGGAGGGGCTTGGGTGGTGGGGACCATCTCTGCGCTTTGGGGTTGTGCGCCCTGAGCACCACCCAGATCCACTCTGGACACTGCCTGCACACCCTCCCGTGAGACCTCAGCAGACAGGTTCTCAGAGGACCGTGTGTGGACGGCTGACCTTCCACCTGCACTGGGAAGTCCTGCCCCTCAGCGCCCACGCGGCAGCTGTAGATGGCGCTGTCCAGTGTCTGTGCGCTGCGCACGGTCAGGGTGTGTGTGTCCCCCAGGCTGGCCGTCTCATGCCGCTTGCTGCGTCGAATCTCCACGCCATCCTTGAGCCAAGTCACCACAGCCACAGAGGGTGTGGGCAGCACGGCAGTCAGGACAATATCCTCGTGTTCCCTAACCACCAGAAGCTCCCTGCGGCCTGGTCTCTCCAGGGCTGCAGGTTCAGGCTCTGGCTCTGGGGCACAGGGGACAAGGAAAGAAGGATCAGCTCAAGCAGACACCTGCATCCCTGACTTGGGCCCCACTGCTCTCAGGCCATAAAGTGAAGACCTACAATGGAGCTGCCCCAAGGTCCAACTGCTCCTCAGTGCCCTGCTTATCCAGCCCTTGGCTCCTGCTTCCACTGAACAGGCCCAAACATGAAAGCAGCACGGCTCCATGCCACCTGATGGCCACCATCACATTCCCAGGGGCCATAACAAGTGGCCAGCAAGAGCTAGCTAACAGGCAAAACAGGCCTGGGGCCAAAAAGGTCTCTCTGACCAACAATCTAGAGGCCAGGATCGCTGCTCTCCAGGGCTCCACGGGCCGATCAGCAGACCCTGCAGTGACAGTAGAGTCAGCCAGGTGACTGAATCAATATTTCAGAAGGACAGCAGGGAGCAGAGCAATAAAAGGAGGTGGAGAGGGCATAATGGGTTAAGGACCCTGGGGACAAAGGCTGAGGGGTGTGAGACACACTGAGTGCTTCAGGCAACTAAGCACACTGGGGAAAGGAGGTACAGACACCAAACTAAGAAAGAGGGTGAAAGCATTAGAAGGGGCCCCAAGAGGGTGGGTCCTGGGGAAGATTACCCCAGTGAGTATCTAGAGCCCATGCTGCACGTACAATGGGGAAAAGGTGGGCAAACCTCACACCTAGAGAAGGGGAAGTGCTGGCCACCTCAGGACAAATCCCAGAAGCAAAACCATAAAACCTAGTGCTCTAGAGTCTACAGGCATCATACTCAGTAGTAGGACTAAAGTATTAAACACACACTTTGCATGGGCTATGTGAATGTACCAGCACAGGGGGAACAAAGTAAGCAGGGTAGACACGAGCCTTTCAAAACAGTGACCATTTTTTGAGGCAAAAAACATTTCCCCCTCTCTCTAGGATGGAACAAACCTATGACATCCAGGCTGAAGGTGACCTTCTGGCCCCCGGCCTCGCAGCTGTACTCCCCGCAGTCCGCCTTCCCTGCCTGCGGCAGCACCAGCCACCGGGTGCAGCCCGAGGCCTCCACGCGCACTTTCGAGCTCCCACTCAGCTTCTTGCCGTCCTTGTACCACGTCACCTGCGTCTGGGCCTGGGCCACCTCGCAGCTCAGCGTGGTGCTGGCCCCCGCCTCGGCCTGCACCTGACTGCGTGCCGCCTGCTCCTTGGCAAACACCACCGTGGGCTCTGGGGGCAGGGAGGGAAGCACAGGGTCAGAGACTTCCTCAAAGTCGGGAGGACGGCACTGGGGACGGGGGGGACTAAACAGGGAGGCGGGAGGACCAGAATCCTCTCTGGGCTCAGCACCCACTGTGGGGCCTGCAGAAGCCCCAGCACCTTCTCAGCCCCTGGAGCACATTCTCCTCCGCCCGCTCTGCCGCCCCCTGCAGGCCAATGGCGAGTGCGTAGGCCACACAAACCATACACAGTAACAAAGGTCCACGTCCGGGCCACCTGAGACCACAGCCAACCCTCTCGGGGAGTTACACTCTCCTCAGAAAAGGAAAGGAAAGTGTGCTCACAGCCAGGGAGGGACAGGCACACACATGAGTCATTAGGAAACGCTGTGTAATAAATGCTCATTTGGCAGTCGGGGGCTGCTCCTGCGGGAACTCATCTCTAACACACCTTGCTGTTGTGGCCTAAGCTCCTCTTTCCGCCTGTGTCCCACCCACACATCTGACCCCAAGGGGGCGCTGACACAGAATGTCTAACAGGAGACGGAGGGACAGCAGGGTGTGCTTCTGGGAGAACATTCCACACCTCACAGCAGAAGATCACAGGTGCCTATCTGCCAACCCTCTGTTCTTGCCTCACTTTGCACAGACACGGAATCAGAGCTGAGATCTAGACTTCGGAACACGGCCGCACTGGTGTCTTCTGGAGCCGTGTCCAAGGAAGGAAGAGGGTTCCACAAATCTAAGACTTTGCTGACCCAAACTTCACTCTTCAGCAAATGGCCGGTATGAGGATGTGGCTGAAATTTTGCCTCCTCGGGTCAAAGGCAAAGCGAAGCGAAGCAAAGCAAAGCGAAGCGAAGCAAAGCAAAGCAAAGAAAAGCAAAACTACACTACACTAAACTAAACTAAACTAAACAAGTAAACTAAACAACAGCAGTGATTCCGGAGAACACTCGGGTGGCACGTGCTGAGGGCCCCATGGAAGATGCTCCAGTGTCCTAAAGGACATTCACGTATCCTGAGGTGAGAGACATCTGGGCTACTCGAGACCCCAGAGGCAGCAGAGCCAGACCCCTGGCCACCAAGGAATACCAGGAGCATCACTATGTGGGAACGCCACTCGGGGTGCACAAGGTGCGCCCAGTGTGTGCCCCCGCACCCTTCTGTGCCTCCATCCCAGCCTCCCTGGACTCAGCCTGGAGCATACAGGTAGAAAGCGGGACTGGGGAGGGGGTTGGAATGGGTAGAGTCTAATGCAAAGACCAAAGGACTGTCACGGCTATAAGTCAGTGACAGCAACGCTTCCAATCAGGACCAAGGAGCCCCCGCTTAAGCCCCAGCGCACTGACCTGAGACATCCAGGCTGAAGGTGACCTTCTGGCCCCCGGCCTCGCAGCTGTACTCCCCGCAGTCCGCCTTCCCTGCCTGCGGCAGCACCAGCCGCCGGGTGCAGCCCGAGGCCTCCACGCGCACTTTCGAGCTCCCACTCAGCTTCTTGCCGTCCTTGTACCACGTCACCTGCGTCTGGGCCTGGGCCACCTCGCAGCTCAGCGTGGCGCTGGCCCCCGCCTCGGCCTGCACCTGACTGTGTGCCGGCTGCTCCTTGGCAAACACCACCGTGGGCTCTGGGGGCAGGGAGGGAAGCACAGGGTCAGAGACTTCCTCAAAGTCGGGAGGACGGCACTGGGGACGGGGGGACTAAACAGGGAGGCGGGAGGACCAGAATCCTCTCTGGGCTCAGCACCCACTGTGGGGCCTGCAGAAGCCCCAGCACCTTCTCAGCCCCTGGAGCACATGCTCCTCCGCCCGCTCTGCCGCCCCCCTGCAGGCCAATGGCGAGTGCGTAGGCCACACAAACCATACACAGTAACAAAGGTCCACGTCCGGGCCACCTGAGACCACAGCCAACCCTCTCGGGGAGTTACACTCTCCTCAGAAAAGGAAAGGAAAGTGTGCTCACAGCCAGGGAGGGACAGGCACACACATGAGTCATTAGGAAACGCTGTGTAATAAATGCTCATTTGGCAGCCGGGGTCTGCTCCTGCGGGAACTCATCTCTAACACACCTTGCTGTTGTAGCCTAAGCTCCTCTTTCCACATGTGTCCCACCCACACATCTGACCCCAAGGGGGCGCTGACACAGAATGTCTAACAGGAGACGGAGGGACAGCAAGGTGTGCTTCTAAGAGAACATTCCACACCTCACAGCAGAAGATCACAGGTGCCTATCTGCCAACCCTCTGTTCTTGCCTCACTTTGCACAGACACGGAATCAGAGCTGACATCTAGACTTCGAAACACGGCCACACTGGTGTCTTCCGGAGCCGTGTCCAAGGAAGGAAGAGGGTTCCACAAATCTAAGACTTTGCTGACCCAAACTTCACTCTTCAGCAAATGGCCGGTATGAGGATGTGGCTGAAATTTTGCCTCCTCGGGTCAAAGGCAAAGCGAAGCGAAGCAAAGCAAAGCAAAGCGAAGCAAAGCAAAGCAAAGCAAAGCAAAGCTAACAACTAAACTAAACTACACTAAACTAAACTAAAGTAAACTAAACAACAGCAGTGATTCCGGAGAACACTCAGGTGGCACCTGCTGAGGGCCCCATGGATATGCTCCAGTGTCCTAAAGGACATTCACGTATCCTGAGGTGAGAGACATCTGGGCTACTCGAGACCCCAGAGGCAGCAGAGCCAGACCCCTGGCCACCAAGGAATACCAGGAGCATCACTATGTGGGAACGCCACTCGGGGTGCACAAGGTGCGCCCAGTGTGTGCCCCCGCACCCTTCTGTGCCTCCATCCCAGCCTCCCTGGACTCAGCCTGGAGCACACAGGTAGAAAGCGGGACTGGGGAGGGGGTTGGAATGGGTAGAGTCTAATGCAAAGACCAAAGGACTGTCACGGCTATAAGTCAGTGACAGCAACGCTTCCAATCAGGACCAAGGAGCCCCCGCTTAAGCCCCAGCGCACTGACCTGAGACATCCAGGCTGAAGGTGACCTTCTGGCCCCCGGCCTCGCAGCTGTACTCCCCGCAGTCCGCCTTCCCTGCCTGCGGCAGCACCAGCCGCCGGGTGCAGCCCGAGGCCTCCACGCGCACTTTCGAGCTCCCACTCAGCTTCTTGCCGTCCTTGTACCACGTCACCTGCGTCTGGGCCTGGGCCACCTCGCAGCTCAGCGTGGTGCTGGCCCCCGCCTCGGCCTGCACCTGACTGCGTGCCGGCTGCTCCTTGGCAAACACCACCGTGGGCTCTGGGGGCAGGGAGGGAAGCACAGGGTCAGACACTTCCTCAAAGTCGGGAGGACGGCACTGGGGACAGGGGGACTAAACAGGGAGGCGGGAGGACCAGAATCCTCTCTGGGCTCAGCACCCACTGTGGGGCCTGCAGAAGCCCCAGCACCTTCTCAGCCCCTGGAGCACATTCTCCTCCGCCCGCTCTGCCGCCCCCTGCAGGCCAATGGCGAGTGCGTAGGCCACACAAACCATACACAGTAACAAAGGTCCACGTCCGGGCCACCTGAGACCACAGCCAACCCTCTCGGGGAGTTACACTCTCCTCAGAAAAGGAAAGGAAAGTGTGCTCACAGCCAGGGAGGGACAGGCATACACATGAGTCATTAGGAAACGCTGTGTAATAAATGCTCATTTGGCAGCCGGGGGCTGCTCCTGCAGGAACTCATCTCTAACACACCTTGCTGTTGTGGCCTAAGCTCCTCTTTCCGCCTGTGTCCCACCCACACATCTGACCCCAAGGGGGCGCTGACACAGAATGTCTAACAGGAGACGGAGGGACAGCAAGGTGTGCTTCTAAGAGAACATTCCACACCTCACAGCAGAAGATCACAGGTGCCTATCTGCCAACCCTCTGTTCTTGCCTCACTTTGCACAGACACGGAATCAGAGCTGAGATCTAGACTTCGGAACACGGCCGCACTGGTGTCTTCTGGAGCCGTGTCCAAGGAAGGAAGAGGGTTCCACAAATCTAAGACTTTGCTGACCCAAACTTCACTCTTCAGCAAATGGCCGGTATGAGGATGTGGCTGAAATTTTGCCTCCTCGGGTCAAAGGCAAAGCGAAGCGAAGCAAAGCAAAGCGAAGCGAAGCGAGCAAAGCAAAGAAAAGCAAAACTACACTACACTAAACTAAAGCTAAACTAAACTAAACTAAACTAAAGTAAACTAAACAACAGCAGTGATTCCGGAGAACACTCGGGTGGCACCTGCTGAGGGCCCCATGGAAGATGCTCCAGTGTCCTAAAGGACATTCACGTATCCTGAGGTGAGAGACATCTGGGCTACTCGAGACCCCAGAGGCAGCAGAGCCAGACCCCTGGCCACCAAGGAATACCAGGAGCATCACTATGTGGGAACGCCACTCGGGGTGCACAAGGTGCGCCCAGTGTGTGCCCCCGCACCCTTCTGTGCCTCCATCCCAGCCTCCCTGGACTCAGCCTGGAGCATACAGGTAGAAAGCGGGACTGGCGGGGGGGGGCGGAGGGAATGGGTAGAGTCTAATGCAAAGACCAAAGGACTGTCACGGCTATAAGTCAGTGACAGCAACGCTTCCAATCAGGACCAAGGAGCCCCCGCTTAAGCCCCAGCGCACTGACCTGAGACATCCAGGCTGAAGGTGACCTTCTGGCCCCCGGCCTCGCAGCTGTACTCCCCGCAGTCCGCCTTCCCTGCCTGCGGCAGCACCAGCCGCCGGGTGCAGCCCGAGGCCTCCACGCGCACTTTCGAGCTCCCACTCAGCTTCTTGCCGTCCTTGTACCACGTCACCTGCGTCTGGGCCTGGGCCACCTCGCAGCTCAGCGTGGCGCTGGCCCCCCGCCTCGGCCTGCACCTGACTGCGTGCCGGCTGCTCCTTGGCAAACACCACCGTGGGCTCTGGGGGCAGGGAGGGAAGCACAGGGTCAGAGACTTCCTCAAAGTCGGGAGGGACGGCACTGGGGACAGGGGGACTAAACAGGGAGGCGGGAGGACCAGAATCCTCTCTGGGCTCAGCACCCACTGTGGGGCCTGCAGAAGCCCCAGCACCTTCTCAGCCCCTGGAGCACATTCTCCTCCGCCCGCTCTGCCGCCCCCTGCAGGCCAATGGCGACTGCGTAGGCCCCACAAACCATACACAGTAACAAAGGTCCACGTCCGGGCCACCTGAGACCACAGCCAACCCTCTCGGGGAGTTACACTCTCCTCAGAAAAGGAAAGGAAAGTGTGCTCACAGCCAGGGAGGGACAGACATACACATGAGTCATTAGGAAACGCTGTGTAATAAATGCTCATTTGGCAGCCGGGGTCTGCTCCTGCGGGAACTCATCTCTAACACACCTTGCTGTTGTGGCCTAAGCTCCTCTTTCCGCCTGTGTCCCACCCACACATCTGACCCCAAGGGGGCGCTGACACAGAATGTCTAACAGGAGACGGAGGGACAGCAAGGTGTGCTTCTAAGAGAACATTCCACACCTCACAGCAGAAGATCACAGGTGCCTATCTGCCAACCCTCTGTTCTTGCCTCACTTTGCACAGACACGGAATCAGAGCTGAGAGCTAGACTTCGAAACACGGCCACACTGGTGTCTTCTGGAGCCGTGTCCAAGGAAGGAAGAGGGTTCCACAAATCTAAGACTTTGCTGACCCAAACTTCACTCTTCAGCAAATGGCCGGTATGAGGATGTGGCTGAAATTTTGCCTCCTCGGGTCAAAGGCAAAGCGAAGCGAAGCAAAGCAAAGCGAAAGCGAAGCAAAGCAAAGCAAAGAAAAGCAAAACTACACTAAACTAAACTACACTAAACTAAACTAAAGTAAACTAAACAACAGCAGTGATTCCGGAGAACACTCGGGTGGCACCTGCTGAGGGCCCCATGGAAGATGCTCCAGTGTCCTAAAGGACATTCACGTATCCTGAGGTGAGAGACATCTGGGCTACTCGAGACCCCAGAGGCAGCAGAGCCAGACCCCTGGCCACCAAGGAATACCAGGAGCATCACTATGTGGGAACGCCACTCGGGGTGCACAAGGTGCGCCCAGTGTGTGCCCCCGCACCCTTCTGTGCCTCCATCCCAGCCTCCCTGGACTCAGCCTGGAGCATACAGGTAGAAAGCGGGACTGGGGAGGGGGTTGGAATGGGTAGAGTCTAATGCAAAGACCAAAGGACTGTCACGGCTATAAGTCAGTGACAGCAACGCTTCCAATCAGGACCAAGGAGCCCCCGCTTAAGCCCCAGCGCACTGACCTGAGACATCCAGGCTGAAGGTGACCTTCTGGCCCCCGGCCTCGCAGCTGTACTCCCCGCAGTCCGCCTTCCCTGCCTGCGGCAGCACCAGCCGCCGGGTGCAGCCCGAGGCCTCCACGCGCACTTTCGAGCTCCCACTCAGCTTCTTGCCGTCCTTGTACCACGTCACCTGCGTCTGGGCCTGGGCCACCTCGCAGCTCAGCGTGGCGCTGGCCCCCGCCTCGGCCTGCACCTGACTGCGTGCCGGCTGCTCCTTGGCAAACACCACCGTGGGCTCTGGGGGCAGGGAGGGGAAGCACAGGGTCAGAGACTTCCTCAAAGTCGGGAGGACGGCACTGGGGACAGGGGGACTAAACAGGGAGGCGGGAGGACCAGAATCCTCTCTGGGCTCAGCACCCACTGTGGGGCCTGCAGAAGCCCCAGCACCTTCTCAGCCCCTGGAGCACATTCTCCTCCGCCCGCTCTGCCGCCCCCTGCAGGCCAATGGCGAGTGCGTAGGCCACACAAACCATACACAGTAACAAAGGTCCACGTCCGGGCCACCTGAGACCACAGCCAACCCTCTCGGGGAGTTACACTCTCCTCAGAAAAGGAAAGGAAAGTGTGCTCACAGCCAGGGAGGGACAGGCATACACATGAGTCATTAGGAAACGCTGTGTAATAAATGCTCATTTGGCAGTCGGGGGCTGCTCCTGCGGGAACTCATCTCTAACACACCTTGCTGTTGTGGCCTAAGCTCCTCTTTCCGCCTGTGTCCCACCCACACATCTGACCCCAAGGGGGCGCTGACACAGAATGTCTAACAGGAGACGGAGGGACAGCAAGGTGTGCTTCTAAGAGAACATTCCACACCTCACAGCAGAAGATCACAGGTGCCTATCTGCCAACCCTCTGTTCTTGCCTCACTTTGCACAGACACGGAATCAGAGCTGAGAGCTAGACTTCGAAACACGGCCACACTGGTGTCTTCTGGAGCCGTGTCCAAGGAAGGAAGAGGGTTCCACAAATCTAAGACTTTGCTGACCCAAACTTCACTCTTCAGCAAATGGCCGGTATGAGGATGTGGCTGAAATTTTGCCTCCTCGGGTCAAAGGCAAAGCGAAGCGAAGCAAAGCAAAGCAAAGCGAAGCAAAGCAAAGCAAAGAAAAGCAAAACTACACTAAACTAAACTAAACTAAACTAAACTAAACTAAACTAAACTAAAGTAAACTAAACAACAGCAGTGATTCCGGAGAACACTCGGGTGGCACCTGCTGAGGGCCCCATGGAAGATGCTCCAGTGTCCTAAAGGACATTCACGTATCCTGAGGTGAGAGACATCTGGGCTACTCGAGACCCCAGAGGCTGCAGAGCCAGACCCCTGGCCACCAAGGAATACCAGGAGCATCACTATGTGGGAACGCCACTCGGGGTGCACAAGGTGCGCCCATGTGTGCCTCCGCACCCTTCTGTGCCTCCATCCCAGCCTCCCTGGACTCAGCCTGGAGCATACAGGTAGAAAGCGGGACTGGGGAGGGGGTTGGAATGGGTAGAGTCTAATGCAAAGACCAAAGGACTGTCACGGCTATAAGTCAGTGACAGCAACGCTTCCAATCAGGACCAAGGAGCCCCCGCTTAAGCCCCAGCGCACTGACCTGAGACATCCAGGCTGAAGGTGACCTTCTGGCCCCCGGCCTCGCAGCTGTACTCCCCGCAGTCCGCCTTCCCTGCCTGCGGCAGCACCAGCCGCCGGGTGCAGCCCGAGGCCTCCACGCGCACTTTCGAGCTCCCACTCAGCTTCTTGCCGTCCTTGTACCACGTCACCTGCGTCTGGGCCTGGGCCACCTCGCAGCTCAGCGTGGCGCTGGCCCCCCGCCTCGGCCTGCACCTGACTGCGTGCCGGCTGCTCCTTGGCAAACACCACCGTGGGCTCTGGGGGCAGGGAGGGAAGCACAGGGTCAGAGACTTCCTCAAAGTCGGGAGGACGGCACTGGGGACGGGGGGACTAAACAGGGAGGCGGGGAGGACCAGAACCCTCTCTGGGCTCAGCACCCACTGTGGGGCCTGCAGAAGCCCCAGCACCTTCTCAGCCCCTGGAGCACATTCTCCTCCGCCCGCTCTGCCGCCCCCTGCAGGCCAATGGCGAGTGCGTAGGCCCCACAAACCATACACAGTAACAAAGGTCCACGTCCGGGCCACCTGAGACCACAGCCAACCCTCTCGGGGAGTTACACTCTCCTCAGAAAAGGAAAGGAAAGTGTGCTCACAGCCAGGGAGGGACAGGCACACACATGAGTCATTAGGAAACGCTGTGTAATAAATGCTCATTTGGCAGCCGGGGTCTGCTCCTGCAGGAACTCATCTCTAACACACCTTGCTGTTGTGGCCTAAGCTCCTCTTTCCGCCTGTGTCCCACCCACACATCTGACCCCAAGGGGGCGCTGACACAGAATGTCTAACAGGAGACGGAGGGACAGCAAGGTGTGCTTCTAAGAGAACATTCCACACCTCACAGCAGAAGATCACAGGTGCCTATCTGCCAACCCTCTGTTCTTGCCTCACTTTGCACAGACACGGAATCAGAGCTGAGAGCTAGACTTCGAAACACGGCCACACTGGTGTCTTCTGGAGCCGTGTCCAAGGAAGGAAGAGGGTTCCACAAATCTAAGACTTTGCTGACCCAAACTTCACTCTTCAGCAAATGGCCGGTATGAGGATGTGGCTGAAATTTTGCCTCCCTCGGGTCAAAGGCAAAGCGAAGCGAAGCAAAGCAAAGCGAAGCGAAGCAAAGCAAAGCAAAGCAAAGCAAAGCAACGCAAAGCAAAGCAAAACTACACTAAACTAAACTAAAGTAAACTAAACAACAGCAGTGATTCCGGAGAACACTCGGGTGGCACCTGCTGAGGGCCCCATGGAAGATGCTCCAGTGTCCTAAAGGACATTCACGTATCCTGAGGTGAGAGACATCTGGGCTACTCGAGACCCCAGAGGCTGCAGAGCCAGACCCCTGGCCACCAAGGAATACCAGGAGCATCACTATGTGGGAACGCCACTCGGGGTGCACAAGGTGCGCCCAGTGTGTGCCCCCGCACCCTTCTGTGCCTCCATCCCAGCCTCCCTGGACTCAGCCTGGAGCATACAGGTAGAAAGCGGGACTGGGGAGGGGGTTGGAATGGGTAGAGTCTAATGCAAAGACCAAAGGACTGTCACGGCTATAAGTCAGTGACAGCAACGCTTCCAATCAGGACCAAGGAGCCCCCGCTTAAGCCCCAGCGCACTGACCTGAGACATCCAGGCTGAAGGTGACCTTCTGGCCCCCGGCCTCGCAGCTGTACTCCCCGCAGTCCGCCTTCCCTGCCTGCGGCAGCACCAGCCGCCGGGTGCAGCCCGAGGCCTCCACGCGCACTTTCGAGCTCCCACTCAGCTTCTTGCCGTCCTTGTACCACGTCACCTGCGTCTGGGCCTGGGCCACCTCGCAGCTCAGCGTGGCGCTGGCCCCCGCCTCGGCCTGCACCTGACTGCGTGCCGCCTGCTCCTTGGCAAACACCACCGTGGGCTCTGGGGGCAGGGAGGGAAGCACAGGGTCAGAGACTTCCTCAAAGTCGGGAGGACGGCACTGGGGACGGGGGGACTAAACAGGGAGGCGGGAGGACCAGAATCCTCTCTGGGCTCAGCACCCACTGTGGGGCCTGCAGAAGCCCCAGCACCTTCTCAGCCCCTGGAGCACATTCTCCTCCGCCCGCTCTGCCGCCCCCTGCAGGCCAATGGCGACTGCGTAGGCCCCACAAACCATACACAGTAACAAAGGTCCACGTCCGGGCCACCTGAGACCACAGCCAACCCTCTCGGGGAGTTACACTCTCCTCAGAAAAGGAAAGGAAAGTGTGCTCACAGCCAGGGAGGGACAGGCATACACATGAGTCATTAGGAAACGCTGTGTAATAAATGCTCATTTGGCAGTCGGGGGCTGCTCCTGCGGGAACTCATCTCTAACACACCTTGCTGTTGTGGCCTAAGCTCCTCTTTCCGCCTGTGTCCCACCCACACATCTGACCCCAAGGGGGCGCTGACACAGAATGTCTAACAGGAGACGGAGGGACAGCAAGGTGTGCTTCTAAGAGAACATTCCACACCTCACAGCAGAAGATCACAGGTGCCTATCTGCCAACCCTCTGTTCTTGCCTCACTTTGCACAGACACGGAATCAGAGCTGAGAGCTAGACTTCGGAACACGGCCACACTGGTGTCTTCTGGAGCCGTGTCCAAGGAAGGAAGAGGGTTCCACAAATCTAAGACTTTGCTGACCCAAACTTCACTCTTCAGCAAATGGCCGGTATGAGGATGTGGCTGAAATTTTGCCTCCTCGGGTCAAAGGCAAAGCGAAGCGAAGCAAAGCAAAGCGAAGCGAAGCGAGCAAAGCAAAGCAAAGCAAAGCAACGCAAAGCAAAGCAAAACTACACTAAACTAAACTAAAGTAAACTAAACAACAGCAGTGATTCCGGAGAACACTCGGGTGGCACCTGCTGAGGGCCCCATGGAAGATGCTCCAGTGTCCTAAAGGACATTCACGTATCCTGAGGTGAGAGACATCTGGGCTACTCGAGACCCCAGAGGCTGCAGAGCCAGACCCTTGGCCACCAAGGAATACCAGGAGCATCACTATGTGGGAACGCCACTCGGGGTGCACAAGGTGCGCCCATGTGTGCCTCCGCACCCTTCTGTGCCTCCATCCCAGCCTCCCTGGACTCAGCCTGGAGCATACAGGTAGAAAGCGGGACTGGGGAGGGGGTTGGAATGGGTAGAGTCTAATGCAAAGACCAAAGGACTGTCACGGCTATAAGTCAGTGACAGCAACGCTTCCAATCAGGACCAAGGAGCCCCCGCTTAAGCCCCAGCGCACTGACCTGAGACATCCAGGCTGAAGGTGACCTTCTGGCCCCCGGCCTCGCAGCTGTACTCCCCGCAGTCCGCCTTCCCTGCCTGCGGCAGCACCAGCCGCCGGGTGCAGCCCGAGGCCTCCACGCGCACTTTCGAGCTCCCACTCAGCTTCTTGCCGTCCTTGTACCACGTCACCTGCGTCTGGGCCTGGGCCACCTCGCAGCTCAGCGTGGCGCTGGCCCCCGCCTCGGCCTGCACCTGACTGCGTGCCGCCTGCTCCTTGGCAAACACCACCGTGGGCTCTGGGGGCAGGGAGGGAAGCACAGGGTCAGACACTTCCTCAAAGTCGGGAGGACGGCACTGGGGACGGGGGGACTAAACAGGGAGGCGGGAGGACCAGAATCCTCTCTGGGCTCAGCACCCACTGTGGGGCCTGCAGAAGCCCCAGCACCTTCTCAGACCCTGGAGCACATTCTCCTCCGCCCGGTCTGCCGCCCCCTGCAGGCCAATGGCGACTGCGTAGGCCCCACAAACCATACACAGTAACAACGGTCCACGTCCGGGCCACCTGAGACCACAGCCAACCCTCTCGGGGAGTTACACTCTCCTCAGAAAAGGAAAGGAAAGTGTGCTCACAGCCAGGGGAGGGACAGGCATACACATGAGTCATTAGGAAACGCTGTGTAATAAATGCTCATTTGGCAGCCGGGGTCTGCTCCTGCGGGAACTCATCTCTAACACACCTTGCTGTTGTGGCCTAAGCTCCTCTTTCCGCCTGTGTCCCACCCACACATCTGACCCCAAGGGGGCGCTGACACAGAATGTCTAACAGGAGACGGAGGGACAGCAAGGTGTGCTTCTAAGAGAACATTCCACACCTCACAGCAGAAGATCACAGGTGCCTATCTGCCAACCCTCTGTTCTTGCCTCACTTTGCACAGACACGGAATCAGAGCTGAGAGCTAGACTTCGAAACACGGCCGCACTGGTGTCTTCTGGAGCCGTGTCCAAGGAAGGAAGAGGGTTCCACAAATCTAAGACTTTGCTGGCCCAAACTTCACTCTTCAGCAAATGGCCGGTATGAGGATGTGGCTGAAATTTTGCCTCCTCGGGTCAAAGGCAAAGCGAAGTGAAGCAAAGCAAAGCGAAGCGAAGCGAGCAAAGCAAAGAAAAGCAAAGCTACACTAAACTAAACTAAACTAAACTAAACTAAAGTAAACTAAACAACAGCAGTGATTCCGGAGAACACTCGGGTGGCACCTGCTGAGGGCCCCATGGAAGATGCTCCAGTGTCCTAAAGGACATTCACGTATCCTGAGGTGAGAGACATCTGGGCTACTCGAGACCCCAGAGGCAGCAGAGCCAGACCCCTGGCCACCAAGGAATACCAGGAGCATCACTATGTGGGAACGCCACTCGGGGTGCACAAGGTGCGCCCAGTGTGTGCCCCCGCACCCTTCTGTGCCTCCATCCCAGCCTCCCTGGACTCAGCCTGGAGCATACAGGTAGAAAGCGGGACTGGGGAGGGGGTTGGAATGGGTAGAGTCTAATGCAAAGACCAAAGGACTGTCACGGCTATAAGTCAGTGACAGCAACGCTTCCAATCAGGACCAAGGAGCCCCCGCTTAAGCCCCAGCGCACTGACCTGAGACATCCAGGCTGAAGGTGACCTTCTGGCCCCCCGGCCCTCGCAGCTGTACTCCCCGCAGTCCGCCTTCCCTGCCTGCGGCAGCACCAGCCGCCGGGTGCAGCCCGAGGCCTCCACGCGCACTTTCGAGCTCCCACTCAGCTTCTTGCCGTCCTTGTACCACGTCACCTGCGTCTGGGCCTGGGCCACCTCGCAGCTCAGCGTGGCGCTGGCCCCCGCCTCGGCCTGCACCTGACTGCGTGCCGGCTGCTCCTTGGCAAACACCACCGTGGGCTCTGGGGGCAGGGAGGGAAGCACAGGGTCAGAGACTTCCTCAAAGTCGGGAGGACGGCACTGGGGACGGGGGGACTAAACAGGGAGGCGGGAGGACCAGAATCCTCTCTGGGCTCAGCACCCACTGTGGGGCCTGCAGAAGCCCCAGCACCTTCTCAGCCCCTGGAGCACATTCTCCTCCGCCCGCTCTGCCGCCCCCTGCAGGCCAATGGCGAGTGCGTAGGCCACACAAACCATACACAGTAACAAAGGTCCACGTCCGGGCCACCTGAGACCACAGCCAACCCTCTCGGGGAGTTACACTCTCCTCAGAAAAGGAAAGGAAAGTGTGCTCACAGCCAGGGAGGGACAGGCACACACATGAGTCATTAGGAAACGCTGTGTAATAAATGCTCATTTGGCAGTCGGGGGCTGCTCCTGCGGGAACTCATCTCTAACACACCTTGCTGTTGTGGCCTAAGCTCCTCTTTCCGCCTGTGTCCCACCCACACATCTGACCCCAAGGGGGCGCTGACACAGAATGTCTAACAGGAGACGGAGGGACAGCAAGGTGTGCTTCTAAGAGAACATTCCACACCTCACAGCAGAAGATCACAGGTGCCTATCTGCCAACCCTCTGTTCTTGCCTCACTTTGCACAGACACGGAATCAGAGCTGAGATCTAGACTTCGAAACACGGCCGCACTGGTGTCTTCTGGAGCCGTGTCCAAGGAAGGAAGAGGGTTCCACAAATCTAAGACTTTGCTGACCCAAACTTCACTCTTCAGCAAATGGCCGGTATGAGGATGTGGCTGAAATTTTGCCTCCTCGGGTCAAAGGCAAAGCGAAGCGAAGCAAAGCAAAGCAAAGCGAAGCAAAGCAAAGCAAAGCAAAGCAAAGCAAAGCAAAGCAAAGCAAAACTACACTAAACTAAACTAAACTAAAGTAAACTAAACAACAGCAGTGATTCCAGAGAACACTCGGGTGGCACCTGCTGAGGGCCCCATGGAAGATGCTCCAGTGTCCTAAAGGACATTCACGTATCCTGAGGTGAGAGACATCTGGGCTACTCGAGACCCCAGAGGCAGCAGAGCCAGACCCCTGGCCACCAAGGAATACCAGGAGCATCACTATGTGGGAACGCCACTCGGGGTGCACAAGGTGCGCCCAGTGTGTGCCCCCGCACCCTTCTGTGCCTCCATCCCAGCCTCCCTGGACTCAGCCTGGAGCATACAGGTAGAAAGCGGGACTGGGGAGGGGGTTGGAATGGGTAGAGTCTAATGCAAAGACCAAAGGACTGTCACGGCTATAAGTCAGTGACAGCAACGCTTCCAATCAGGACCAAGGAGCCCCCGCTTAAGCCCCAGCGCACTGACCTGAGACATCCAGGCTGAAGGTGACCTTCTGGCCCCCGGCCTCGCAGCTGTACTCCCCGCAGTCCGCCTTCCCTGCCTGCGGCAGCACCAGCCGCCGGGTGCAGCCCGAGGCCTCCACGCGCACTTTCGAGCTCCCACTCAGCTTCTTGCCGTCCTTGTACCACGTCACCTGCGTCTGGGCCTGGGCCACCTCGCAGCTCAGCGTGGCGCTGGCCCCCGCCTCGGCCTGCACCTGACTGCGTGCCGGCTGCTCCTTGGCAAACACCACCGTGGGCTCTGGGGGCAGGGAGGGAAGCACAGGGTCAGAGACTTCCTCAAAGTCGGGAGGACGGCACTGGGGACGGGGACTAAACAGGGAGGCGGGAGGACCAGAATCCTCTCTGGGCTCAGCACCCACTGTGGGGCCTGCAGAAGCCCCAGCACCTTCTCAGACCCTGGAGCACATTCTCCTCCGCCCGGTCTGCCGCCCCCCTGCAGGCCAATGGCGACTGCGTAGGCCCCACAAACCATACACAGTAACAACGGTCCACGTCCGGGCCACGTGAGACCACAGCCAACCCCTCTCGGGGAGTTACACTCTCCTCAGAAAAGGAAAGGAAAGTGTGTTCACAGCCAGGGAGGGACAGGCACACACATGAGTCATTAGGAAACGCTGTGTAATAAATGCTCATTTGGCAGCCGGGGGCTGCTCCTGCAGGAACTCATCTCTAACACACCTTGCTGTTGTGGCCTAAGCTCCTCTTTCCGCCTGTGTCCCACCCACACATCTGACCCCAAGGGGGCGCTGACACAGAATGTCTAACAGGAGACGGAGGGACAGCAAGGTGTGCTTCTAAGAGAACATTCCACACCTCACAGCAGAAGATCACAGGTGCCTATCTGCCAACCCTCTGTTCTTGCCTCACTTTGCACAGACACGGAATCAGAGCTGAGATCTAGACTTCGAAACACGGCCGCACTGGTGTCTTCTGGAGCCGTGTCCAAGGAAGGAAGAGGGTTCCACAAATCTAAGACTTTGCTGACCCAAACTTCACTCTTCAGCAAATGGCCGGTATGAGGATGTGGCTGAAATTTTGCCTCCTCGGGTCAAAGGCAAAGCGAAGCGAAGCAAAGCAAAGCAAAGCGAAGCAAAGCAAAGCAAAGAAAAGCAAAACTAAGCACTAAACAAAACTAAACTAAACTACACTAAACTAAACTAAAGTAAACTAAACAACAGCAGTGATTCCGGAGAACACTCGGGTGGCACGTGCTGAGGGCCCCATGGAAGATGCTCCAGTGTCCTAAAGGACATTCACGTATCCTGAGGTGAGAGACATCTGGGCTACTCGAGACCCCAGAGGCAGCAGAGCCAGACCCCTGGCCACCAAGGAATACCAGGAGCATCACTATGTGGGAACGCCACTCGGGTGCACAAGGTGCGCCCATGTGTGCCCCCGCACCCTTCTGTGCCTCCATCCCAGCCTCCCTGGACTCAGCCTGGAGCATACAGGTAGAAAGCGGGACTGGGGAGGGGGTTGGAATGGGTAGAGTCTAATGCAAAGACCAAAGGACTGTCACGGCTATAAGTCAGTGACAGCAACGCTTCCAATCAGGACCAAGGAGCCCCCGCTTAAGCCCCAGCGCACTGACCTGAGACATCCAGGCTGAAGGTGACCTTCTGGCCCCCGGCCTCGCAGCTGTACTCCCCGCAGTCCGCCTTCCCTGCCTGCGGCAGCACCAGCCGCCGGGTGCAGCCCGAGGCCTCCACGCGCACTTTCGAGCTCCCACTCAGCTTCTTGCCGTCCTTGTACCACGTCACCTGCGTCTGGGCCTGGGCCACCTCGCAGCTCAGCGTGGCGCTGGCCCCCGCCTCGGCCTGCACCTGACTGCGTGCCGGCTGCTCCTTGGCAAACACCACCGTGGGCTCTGGGGGCAGGGAGGGGAAGCACAGGGTCAGAGACTTCCTCAAAGTCGGGAGGACGGCACTGGGGACGGGGGGGACTAAACAGGGAGGCGGGAGGACCAGAATCCTCTCTGGGCTCAGCACCCACTGTGGGGCCTGCAGAAGCCCCAGCACCTTCTCAGACCCTGGAGCACATTCTCCTCCGCCCGGTCTGCCGCCCCCCTGCAGGCCAATGGCGACTGCGTAGGCCCCACAAACCATACACAGTAACAACGGTCCACGTCCGGGCCACGTGAGACCACAGCCAACCCTCTCGGGGAGTTACACTCTCCTCAGAAAAGGAAAGGAAAGTGTGTTCACAGCCAGGGAGGGACAGGCACACACATGAGTCATTAGGAAACGCTGTGTAATAAATGCTCATTTGGCAGCCGGGGTCTGCTCCTGCGGGAACTCATCTCTAACACACCTTGCTGTTGTGGCCTAAGCTCCTCTTTCCGCCTGTGTCCCACCCACACATCTGACCCCAAGGGGGCGCTGACACAGAATGTCTAACAGGAGACGGAGGGACAGCAAGGTGTGCTTCTAAGAGAACATTCCACACCTCACAGCAGAAGATCACAGGTGCCTATCTGCCAACCCTCTGTTCTTGCCTCACTTTGCACAGACACGGAATCAGAGCTGAGATCTAGACTTCGGAACACGGCCGCACTGGTGTCTTCTGGAGCCGTGTCCAAGGAAGGAAGAGGGTTCCACAAATCTAAGACTTTGCTGACCCAAACTTCACTCTTCAGCAAATGGCCGGTATGAGGATGTGGCTGAAATTTTGCCTCCTCGGGTCAAAGGCAAAGCGAAGCGAAGCAAAGCAAAGCAAAGCGAAGCAAAGCAAAGCAAAGAAAAGCAAAACTACGCTAAACTAAATAAAGCTAAACTAAACTAAACTAAACTAAAGTAAACTAAACAACAGCAGTGATTCCGGAGAACACTCGGGTGGCACGTGCTGAGGGCCCCATGGAAGATGCTCCAGTGTCCTAAAGGACATTCACGTATCCTGAGGTGAGAGACATCTGGGCTACTCGAGACCCCAGAGGCAGCAGAGCCAGACCCCTGGCCACCAAGGAATACCAGGAGCATCACTATGTGGGAACGCCACTCGGGGTGCACAAGGTGCGCCCAGTGTGTGCCCCCGCACCCTTCTGTGCCTCCATCCCAGCCTCCCTGGACTCAGCCTGGAGCATACAGGTAGAAAGCGGGACTGGGGAGGGGGTTGGAATGGGTAGAGTCTAATGCAAAGACCAAAGGACTGTCACGGCTATAAGTCAGTGACAGCAACGCTTCCAATCAGGACCAAGGAGCCCCCGCTTAAGCCCCAGCGCACTGACCTGAGACATCCAGGCTGAAGGTGACCTTCTGGCCCCCCGGCCTCGCAGCTGTACTCCCCGCAGTCCGCCTTCCCTGCCTGCGGCAGCACCAGCCGCCGGGTGCAGCCCGAGGCCTCCACGCGCACTTTCGAGCTCCCACTCAGCTTCTTGCCGTCCTTGTACCACGTCACCTGCGTCTGGGCCTGGGCCACCTCGCAGCTCAGCGTGGCGCTGGCCCCCCGCCTCGGCCTGCACCTGACTGCGTGCCGGCTGCTCCTTGGCAAACACCACCGTGGGCTCTGGGGGCAGGGGAGGGAAGCACAGGGTCAGAGACTTCCTCAAAGTCGGGAGGACGGCACTGGGGACGGGGGGACTAAACAGGGGAGGCGGGAGGACCAGAATCCTCTCTGGGCTCAGCACCCACTGTGGGGCCTGCAGAAGCCCCAGCACCTTCTCAGACCCTGGAGCACATTCTCCTCCGCCCGCTCTGCCGCCCCCCTGCAGGCCAATGGCGAGTGCGTAGGCCCCACAAACCATACACAGTAACAACGGTCCACGTCCGGGCCACGTGAGACCACAGCCAACCCTCTCGGGGAGTTACACTCTCCTCAGAAAAGGAAAGGAAAGTGTGTTCACAGCCAGGGAGGGACAGGCACACACATGAGTCATTAGGAAACGCTGTGTAATAAATGCTCATTTGGCAGCCGGGGTCTGCTCCTGCAGGAACTCATCTCTAACACACCTTGCTGTTGTGGCCTAAGCTCCTCTTTCCGCCTGTGTCCCACCCACACATCTGACCCCAAGGGGGCGCTGACACAGAATGTCTAACAGGAGACGGAGGGACAGCAAGGTGTGCTTCTAAGAGAACATTCCACACCTCACAGCAGAAGATCACAGGTGCCTATCTGCCAACCCTCTGTTCTTGCCTCACTTTGCACAGACACGGAATCAGAGCTGAGATCTAGACTTCGGAACACGGCCGCACTGGTGTCTTCTGGAGCCGTGTCCAAGGAAGGAAGAGGGTTCCACAAATCTAAGACTTTGCTGACCCAAACTTCACTCTTCAGCAAATGGCCGGTATGAGGATGTGGCTGAAATTTTGCCTCCTCGGGTCAAAGGCAAAGCGAAGCGAAGCAAAGCAAAGCAAAGCGAAGCAAAGCAAAGCAAAGAAAAGCAAAACTACACTACACTAAACTAAACTAAACTAAACTAAACTAAACTAAAGTAAACTAAACAACAGCAGTGATTCCGGAGAACACTCGGGTGGCACGTGCTGAGGGCCCCATGGAAGATGCTCCAGTGTCCTAAAGGACATTCACGTATCCTGAGGTGAGAGACATCTGGGCTACTCGAGACCCCAGAGGCAGCAGAGCCAGACCCCTGGCCACCAAGGAATACCAGGAGCATCACTATGTGGGAACGCCACTCGGGGTGCACAAGGTGCGCCCAGTGTGTGCCCCCGCACCCTTCTGTGCCTCCATCCCAGCCTCCCCTGGACTCAGCCTGGAGCATACAGGTAGAAAGCGGGACTGGGGAGGGGGTTGGAATGGGTAGAGTCTAATGCAAAGACCAAAGGACTGTCACGGCTATAAGTCAGTGACAGCAACGCTTCCAATCAGGACCAAGGAGCCCCCGCTTAAGCCCCAGCGCACTGACCTGAGACATCCAGGCTGAAGGTGACCTTCTGGCCCCCGGCCTCGCAGCTGTACTCCCCGCAGTCCGCCTTCCCTGCCTGCGGCAGCACCAGCCGCCGGGTGCAGCCCGAGGCCTCCACGCGCACTTTCGAGCTCCCACTCAGCTTCTTGCCGTCCCTTGTACCACGTCACCTGCGTCTGGGCCTGGGCCACCTCGCAGCTCAGCGTGGCGCTGGCCCCCCGCCTCGGCCTGCACCTGACTGCGTGCCGGCTGCTCCTTGGCAAACACCACCGTGGGCTCTGGGGGCAGGGAGGGAAGCACAGGGTCAGAGACTTCCTCAAAGTCGGGAGGACGGCACTGGGGACGGGGGGACTAAACAGGGAGGCGGGAGGACCAGAATCCTCTCTGGGCTCAGCACCCACTGTGGGGCCTGCAGAAGCCCCAGCACCTTCTCAGACCCTGGAGCACATTCTCCTCCGCCCGGTCTGCCGCCCCCTGCAGGCCAATGGCGACTGCGTAGGCCCCACAAACCATACACAGTAACAACGGTCCACGTCCGGGCCACGTGAGACCACAGCCAACCCTCTCGGGGAGTTACACTCTCCTCAGAAAAGGAAAGGAAAGTGTGTTCACAGCCAGGGAGGGACAGGCACACACATGAGTCATTAGGAAACGCTGTGTAATAAATGCTCATTTGGCAGCCGGGGTCTGCTCCTGCGGGAACTCATCTCTAACACACCTTGCTGTTGTGGCCTAAGCTCCTCTTTCCGCCTGTGTCCCACCCACACATCTGACCCCAAGGGGGCGCTGACACAGAATGTCTAACAGGAGACGGAGGGACAGCAAGGTGTGCTTCTAAGAGAACATTCCACACCTCACAGCAGAAGATCACAGGTGCCTATCTGCCAACCCCTCTGTTCTTGCCTCACTTTGCACAGACACGGAATCAGAGCTGAGATCTAGACTTCGGAACACGGCCGCACTGGTGTCTTCTGGAGCCGTGTCCAAGGAAGGAAGAGGGTTCCACAAATCTAAGACTTTGCTGACCCAAACTTCACTCTTCAGCAAATGACCGGTATGAGGATGTGGCTGAAATTTTGCCTCCTCGGGTCAAAGGCAAAGCGAAGCGAAGCAAAGCAAAGCAAAGCGAAGCAAAGCAAAGCAAAGAAAAGCAAAACTACACTAAACTAAACTAAACTAAACTAAACTAAAGTAAACTAAACAACAGCAGTGATTCCGGAGAACACTCGGGTGGCACGTGCTAAGGGCCCCATGGAAGATGCTCCAGTGTCCTAAAGGACATTCACGTATCCTGAGGTGAGAGACATCTGGGCTACTCGAGACCCCAGAGGCAGCAGAGCCAGACCCCTGGCCACCAAGGAATACCAGGAGCATCACTATGTGGGAACGCCACTCGGGGTGCACAAGGTGCGCCCAGTGTGTGCCCCCGCACCCTTCTGTGCCTCCATCCCAGCCTCCCTGGACTCAGCCTGGAGCATACAGGTAGAAAGCGGGACTGGGGAGGGGGTTGGAATGGGTAGAGTCTAATGCAAAGACCAAAGGACTGTCACGGCTATAAGTCAGTGACAGCAACGCTTCCAATCAGGACCAAGGAGCCCCGCTTAAGCCCCAGCGCACTGACCTGAGACATCCAGGCTGAAGGTGACCTTCCGGCCCCCGGCCTCGCAGCTGTACTCCCCCGCAGTCCGCCTTCCCTGCCTGCGGCAGCACCAGCCGCCGGGTGCAGCCCGAGGCCTCCACGCGCACTTTCGAGCTCCCACTCAGCTTCTTGCCGTCCTTGTACCACGTCACCTGCGTCTGGGCCTGGGCCACCTCGCAGCTCAGCGTGGCGCTGGCCCCCCGCCTCGGCCTGCACCTGACTGCGTGCCGCCTGCTCCTTGGCAAACACCACCGTGGGCTCTGGGGGCAGGGAGGGAAGCACAGGGTCAGAGACTTCCTCAAAGTCGGGAGGACGGCACTGGGGACGGGGGGGACTAAACAGGGAGGCGGGAGGACCAGAATCCTCTCTGGGCTCAGCACCCACTGTGGGGCCTGCAGAAGCCCCAGCACCTTCTCAGACCCTGGAGCACATTCTCCTCCGCCCGGTCTGCCGCCCCCCTGCAGGCCAATGGCGACTGCGTAGGCCCCACAAACCATACACAGTAACAAAGGTCCACGTCCGGGCCACCTGAGACCACAGCCAACCCTCTCGGGGAGTTACACTCTCCTCAGAAAAGGAAAGGAAAGTGTGCTCACAGCCAGGGAGGGACAGGCATACACATGAGTCATTAGGAAACGCTGTGTAATAAATGCTCATTTGGCAGCCGGGGGTCTGCTCCTGCAGGAACTCATCTCTAACACACCTTGCTGTTGTGGCCTAAGCTCCTCTTTCCGCCTGTGTCCCACCCACACATCTGACCCCAAGGGGGCGCTGACACAGAATGTCTAACAGGAGACGGAGGGACAGCAAGGTGTGCTTCTAAGAGAACATTCCACACCTCACAGCAGAAGATCACAGGTGCCTATCTGCCAACCCTCTGTTCTTGCCTCACTTTGCACAGACACGGAATCAGAGCTGAGATCTAGACTTCGAAACACGGCCGCACTGGTGTCTTCTGGAGCCGTGTCCAAGGAAGGAAGAGGGTTCCACAAATCTAAGACTTTGCTGACCCAAACTTCACTCTTCAGCAAATGGCCGGTATGAGGATGTGGCTGAAATTTTGCCTCCTCGGGTCAAAGGCAAAGCGAAGCGAAGCAAAGCAAAGCAAAGCGAAGCAAAGCAAAGCAAAGAAAAGCAAAACTACACTAAACTAAACTAAACTAAACTAAACTAAACTAAACTAAACTAAAGTAAACTAAACAACAGCAGTGATTCCGGAGAACACTCGGGTGGCACGTGCTGAGGGCCCCATGGAAGATGCTCCAGTGTCCTAAAGGACATTCACGTATCCTGAGGTGAGAGACATCTGGGCTACTCGAGACCCCAGAGGCAGCAGAGCCAGACCCTTGGCCACCAAGGAATACCAGGAGCATCACTATGTGGGAACGCCACTCGGGGTGCACAAGGTGCGCCCATGTGTGCCTCCGCACCCTTCTGTGCCTCCATCCCAGCCTCCCTGGACTCAGCCTGGAGCATACAGGTAGAAAGCGGGACTGGGGAGGGGGTTGGAATGGGTAGAGTCTAATGCAAAGACCAAAGGACTGTCACGGCTATAAGTCAGTGACAGCAACGCTTCCAATCAGGACCAAGGAGCCCCCGCTTAAGCCCCAGCGCACTGACCTGAGACATCCAGGCTGAAGGTGACCTTCTGGCCCCCGGCCTCGCAGCTGTACTCCCCGCAGTCCGCCTTCCCTGCCTGCGGCAGCACCAGCCGCCGGGTGCAGCCCGAGGCCTCCACGCGCACTTTCGAGCTCCCACTCAGCTTCTTGCCGTCCTTGTACCACGTCACCTGCGTCTGGGCCTGGGCCACCTCGCAGCTCAGCGTGGCGCTGGCCCCCGCCTCGGCCTGCACCTGACTGCATGCCGGCTGCTCCTTGGCAAACACCACCGTGGGCTCTGGGGGCAGGGAGGGAAGCACAGGGTCAGAGACTTCCTCAAAGTCGGGAGGACGGCACTGGGGACGGGGGGACTAAACAGGGAGGCGGGAGGACCAGAATCCTCTCTGGGCTCAGCACCCACTGTGGGGCCTGCAGAAGCCCCAGCACCTTCTCAGACCCTGGAGCACATTCTCCTCCGCCCGGTCTGCCGCCCCCTGCAGGCCAATGGCGACTGCGTAGGCCCCACAAACCATACACAGTAACAACGGTCCACGTCCGGGCCACGTGAGACCACAGCCAACCCTCTCGGGGAGTTACACTCTCCTCAGAAAAGGAAAGGAAAGTGTGCTCACAGCCAGGGAGGGACAGGCACACACATGAGTCATTAGGAAACGCTGTGTAATAAATGCTCATTTGGCAGCCGGGGTCTGCTCCTGCAGGAACTCATCTCTAACACACCTTGCTGTTGTGGCCTAAGCTCCTCTTTCCGCCTGTGTCCCACCCACACATCTGACCCCAAGGGGGCGCTGACACAGAATGTCTAACAGGAGACGGAGGGACAGCAAGGTGTGCTTCTAAGAGAACATTCCACACCTCACAGCAGAAGATCACAGGTGCCTATCTGCCAACCCTCTGTTCTTGCCTCACTTTGCACAGACACGGAATCAGAGCTGAGATCTAGACTTCGGAACACGGCCGCACTGGTGTCTTCTGGAGCCGTGTCCAAGGAAGGAAGAGGGTTCCACAAATCTAAGACTTTGCTGACCCAAACTTCACTCTTCAGCAAATGGCCGGTATGAGGATGTGGCTGAAATTTTGCCTCCTCGGGTCAAAGGCAAAGCGAAGCGAAGCAAAGCAAAGCAAAGCGAAGCAAAGCAAAGCAAAGAAAAGCAAAACTACACTAAACTAAACTAAACTAAACTAAACTAAACTAAACTAAAGTAAACTAAACAACAGCAGTGATTCCGGAGAACACTCGGGTGGCACGTGCTGAGGGCCCCATGGAAGATGCTCCAGTGTCCTAAAGGACATTCACGTATCCTGAGGTGAGAGACATCTGGGCTACTCGAGACCCCAGAGGCAGCAGAGCCAGACCCCTGGCCACCAAGGAATACCAGGAGCATCACTATGTGGGAACGCCACTCGGGGTGCACAAGGTGCGCCCAGTGTGTGCCCCCGCACCCTTCTGTGCCTCCATCCCAGCCTCCCTGGACTCAGCCTGGAGCATACAGGTAGAAAGCGGGACTGGGGAGGGGGTTGGAATGGGTAGAGTCTAATGCAAAGACCAAAGGACTGTCACGGCTATAAGTCAGTGACAGCAACGCTTCCAATCAGGACCAAGGAGCCCCCGCTTAAGCCCCAGCGCACTGACCTGAGACATCCAGGCTGAAGGTGACCTTCTGGCCCCCGGCCTCGCAGCTGTACTCCCCCGCAGTCCGCCTTCCCTGCCTGCGGCAGCACCAGCCGCCGGGTGCAGCCCGAGGCCTCCACGCGCACTTTCGAGCTCCCACTCAGCTTCTTGCCGTCCTTGTACCACGTCACCTGCGTCTGGGCCTGGGCCACCTCGCAGCTCAGCGTGGCGCTGGCCCCCGCCTCGGCCTGCACCTGACTGCGTGCCGCCTGCTCCTTGGCAAACACCACCGTGGGCTCTGGGGGCAGGGAGGGAAGCACAGGGTCAGAGACTTCCTCAAAGTCGGGAGGACGGCACTGGGGACGGGGGGGACTAAACAGGGAGGCGGGAGGACCAGAATCCTCTCTGGGCTCAGCACCCACTGTGGGGCCTGCAGAAGCCCCAGCACCTTCTCAGACCCTGGAGCACATTCTCCTCCGCCCGGTCTGCCGCCCCCTGCAGGCCAATGGCGAGTGCGTAGGCCCCACAAACCATACACAGTAACAAAGGTCCACGTCCGGGCCACCTGAGACCACAGCCAACCCTCTCGGGGAGTTACACTCTCCTCAGAAAAGGAAAGGAAAGTGTGCTCACAGCCAGGGAGGGACAGGCACACACATGAGTCATTAGGAAACGCTGTGTAATAAATGCTCATTTGGCAGCCGGGGTCTGCTCCTGCGGGAACTCATCTCTAACACACCTTGCTGTTGTGGCCTAAGCTCCTCTTTCCGCCTGTGTCCCACCCACACATCTGACCCCAAGGGGGCGCTGACACAGAATGTCTAACAGGAGACGGAGGGACAGCAAGGTGTGCTTCTAAGAGAACATTCCACACCTCACAGCAGAAGATCACAGGTGCCTATCTGCCAACCCTCTGTTCTTGCCTCACTTTGCACAGACACGGAATCAGAGCTGAGAGCTAGACTTCGAAACACGGCCGCACTGGTGTCTTCTGGAGCTGTGTCCAAGGAAGGAAGAGGGTTCCACAAATCTAAGACTTTGCTGGCCCAAACTTCACTCTTCAGCAAATGGCCGGTATGAGGATGTGGCTGAAATTTTGCCTCCTCGGGTCAAAGGCAAAGCGAAGTGAAGCAAAGCAAAGCGAAGCGAAGCCAAAGCAAAGCAAAGAAAAGCAAAACTACACTAAACAAAACTAAACTAAACTAAACTAAAGTAAACTAAACAACAGCAGTGATTCCGGAGAACACTCGGGTGGCACGTGCTGAGGGCCCCATGGAAGATGCTCCAGTGTCCTAAAGGACATTCACGTATCCTGAGGTGAGAGACATCTGGGCTACTCGAGACCCCAGAGGCAGCAGAGCCAGACCCCTGGCCACCAAGGAATACCAGGAGCATCACTATGTGGGAACGCCACTCGGGGTGCACAAGGTGCGCCCAGTGTGTGCCCCCGCACCCTTCTGTGCCTCCATCCCAGCCTCCCTGGACTCAGCCTGGAGCATACAGGTAGAAAGCGGGACTGGGGAGGGGGTTGGAATGGGTAGAGTCTAATGCAAAGACCAAAGGACTGTCACGGCTATAAGTCAGTGACAGCAACGCTTCCAATCAGGACCAAGGAGCCCCCGCTTAAGCCCCAGCGCACTGACCTGAGACATCCAGGCTGAAGGTGACCTTCTGGCCCCCGGCCTCGCAGCTGTACTCCCCGCAGTCCGCCTTCCCTGCCTGCGGCAGCACCAGCCGCCGGGTGCAGCCCGAGGGCCTCCACGCGCACTTTCGAGCTCCCACTCAGCTTCTTGCCGTCCTTGTACCACGTCACCTGCGTCTGGGCCTGGGCCACCTCGCAGCTCAGCGTGGCGCTGGCCCCCCGCCTCGGCCTGCACCTGACTGCGTGCTGGCTGCTCCTTGGCAAACACCACCGTGGGCTCTGGGGGCAGGGAGGGGAAGCACAGGGTCAGAGACTTCCTCAAAGTCGGGAGGACGGCACTGGGGACGGGGGGGACTAAACAGGGAGGCGGGAGGACCAGAATCCTCTCTGGGCTCAGCACCCACTGTGGGGCCTGCAGAAGCCCCAGCACCTTCTCAGCCCCTGGAGCACATTCTCCTCCGCCCGGTCTGCCGCCCCCCTGCAGGCCAATGGCGAGTGCGTAGGCCCCACAAACCATACACAGTAACAACGGTCCACGTCCGGGCCACGTGAGACCACAGCCAACCCTCTCGGGGAGTTACACTCTCCTCAGAAAAGGAAAGGAAAGTGTGCTCACAGCCAGGGGAGGGACAGGCACACACATGAGTCATTAGGAAACGCTGTGTAATAAATGCTCATTTGGCAGTCGGGGGTCTGCTCCTGCAGGAACTCATCTCTAACACACCTTGCTGTTGTGGCCTAAGCTCCTCTTTCCGCCTGTGTCCCACCCACACATCTGACCCCAAGGGGGCGCTGACACAGAATGTCTAACAGGAGACGGAGGGACAGCAAGGTGTGCTTCTAAGAGAACATTCCACACCTCACAGCAGAAGATCACAGGTGCCTATCTGCCAACCCTCTGTTCTTGCCTCACTTTGCACAGACACGGAATCAGAGCTGAGATCTAGACTTCGGAACACGGCCGCACTGGTGTCTTCTGGAGCCGTGTCCAAGGAAGGAAGAGGGTTCCACAAATCTAAGACTTTGCTGACCCAAACTTCACTCTTCAGCAAATGGCCGGTATGAGGATGTGGCTGAAATTTTGCCTCCTCGGGTCAAAGGCAAAGCGAAGCGAAGCAAAGCAAAGCAAAGCGAAGCAAAGCAAAGCAAAGAAAAGCAAAACTACAGCTAAACTAAAGCTAAACTAAACTAAACTAAACTAAACTAAACTAAAGTAAACTAAACAACAGCAGTGATTCCGGAGAACACTCGGGTGGCACGTGCTGAGGGCCCCATGGAAGATGCTCCAGTGTCCTAAAGGACATTCACGTATCCTGAGGTGAGAGACATCTGGGCTACTCGAGACCCCAGAGGCAGCAGAGCCAGACCCCTGGCCACCAAGGAATACCAGGAGCATCACTATGTGGGAACGCCACTCGGGGTGCACAAGGTGCGCCCAGTGTGTGCCCCCCGCACCCTTCTGTGCCTCCATCCCAGCCTCCCTGGACTCAGCCTGGAGCATACAGGTAGAAAGCGGGACTGGGGGAGGGGGGTTGGAATGGGTAGAGTCTAATGCAAAGACCAAAGGACTGTCACGGCTATAAGTCAGTGACAGCAACGCTTCCAATCAGGACCAAGGAGCCCCCGCTTAAGCCCCAGCGCACTGACCTGAGACATCCAGGCTGAAGGTGACCTTCTGGCCCCCGGCCTCGCAGCTGTACTCCCCGCAGTCCGCCTTCCCTGCCTGCGGCAGCACCAGCCGCCGGGTGCAGCCCGAGGCCTCCACGCGCACTTTCGAGCTCCCACTCAGCTTCTTGCCGTCCTTGTACCACGTCACCTGCGTCTGGGCCTGGGCCACCTCGCAGCTCAGCGTGGCGCTGGCCCCCGCCTCGGCCTGCACCTGACTGCGTGCCGCCTGCTCCTTGGCAAACACCACTGTGGGCTCTGCGGGCAAGGAGGTAGCTTACTGTTAATGACATAATTATGGTAGTAGGCTCTATCACTTCTGGCAATTCTTCAATATTTTGTCAATGTTGTCCTTGGAACCTCATTCCAGGTAGGGTGTTATTTCCTGATAATAGTTAGACTTGTGTTTACACACATATGTCTTCTCTCACAAATTTTTAATTGTCATTTTCAAATTGTCTTGACCTGGAGTAATTCCTTGTAGTGGGGGAAGGCAACCAAAGCCGTTCCCGTACTTGTCACTGCCTGTTCATTTTCTTTCTCAAGTGAGTCTCACCTCCTTTGGCAGGGGGCTTGGTCACTCTTGTATGCACAGAAGCTGGCATGGGGCGTGTCATTCAGAAACTTACCTATATTTTCCTAAGTATGCCTCAGATTTAAACACACTATTTCTCTTGTACACCCTAAGGAAGTGTAAGCATACTTATGGCCACACACCCTAACATATATTGAGAGAACATTTTCAGCTTCTCACCCTGTGTTGACCACCCCCAAAAAGAAGCACCATTCTGGCCGGTCACTGATAACCACTTTTACCTGTTCTTTGCTTTCACATGAATGAATCATATTCCATGCTCTGTTGGCCTGCATTCTTGCACTCTGCATTCTGTCTGGAAGCTCCATCAAGTTGTTCCATAGAGCGGTACTCTGCTCTCATGTAATGATGAGCTCTGTTGTATCACACCCTTGCTTATTTTTCCTTTTCATTCTCTGGTTCATTTGGATTGTTTCCAAAGGAGCGATACAAGTAGTAAGGCGCTATGAATACTGGCTCACATGGGCAGGGACATTGTCAGGCCAGTATTTGTGCTTTAACACGTATTTGCAAAGAGTTTCCAGTATGGTTGTGCTAACTTACACTTCCACCAAAACTGTTTGAGAGTTCCAGTTGGACATCTTCTGCAATACTGGATATCATCAATTTTTCAGGTGTATATGTTCTACTAAATCCAAATGAATACACATAGGATCTCAGAGATCCATGCTCTAGGTTCAATCATTCATTCACTCATCTATTTGATCACTGATCCAGCTAAAGTCAATGGATGGCCCACAGTGTGCAGGCACTATGGTGGGGGGATGCTCTGGTGACTATCATGGTCTCTGTTTCCACAAAGCTGGCTTTGGAATGGAACAAGAGAAACAATCACACATAAACCATGACAATAATGGTATAGTGCTATGCTGAGTGCTGTGATCAAGTAAAACAGGTGACAGGTTTGAGAGAAGGGTCAGAATGGTGACTTGTATGTGATTGTCAGAGAACATCTTCTGAGGAGTTAACATTTAGGTGGACTGCTAATTGATAAATGGGAGGAAAAATAACATTGATAACCCTGGTCAAAATTGCAATGCAGCCTCAAGTCAGCACAATAGTGAAGGGACTAATGTTCTTAGTCATCCTCTTTTGGGGACCACTCTACCTGATTTCAGGAATTGTAACTACCCCCCATGAGCGAGTGACCCCCGGAACGCAAGCCACAGGAGACAAAGTTTGTCTCTAGTAGCAAATGCTGCCTTAGATTCCTCTCCCTACCCTCAAAGCATGGTCGGAAGTCAGAGACTGGTAAGACTCCTCACAGCAAGGGGCAACCTAAGCCAGACTCGATCACTTGGGAGGCCATCAGGGAAGGACTCGGGGGGCTGCAACAAAAAGCGAGCAATAGACCCTTGTACCCTGGCTCTGTGACATAGCCTGAGTCCCCATTTCCATCTGGGAGGTGGTTCCTGGCTCTAATCCACTTAAGCCTGAAAACCTGATGGGGAAGGGTGAAGCTCCTTGCCTTGCTAGAGCAGATCCAGGGAAATCTGGCATAAGAAAGAATTCCCAAAAAATCCTGTGAAACCTGCTTTGCTAAGAGTGCTTTCATTCATGTTAAGGGTCCGAGCAGGAAACCCTAACATTTCTGCAAACCCCCTTCCTGACAGACTCTGACTAAGCCCTCAGATTTCTTTGAAATGTTATCTACTGTTTGATCCTTGCTGCCCTATATTCCTATGTATTACAACCCAATAAAAGCCCCTGGAGGAAGGGGCTCCTTGCCTTTTTCCTCTGAGAAACTGGCCACCTCTCCTCCTCAAGCAGATCATGTCTTGATAGAGTTATTTTCATTCATGGCAGACAGGGGGACTTGAGGGCAAAGTCGCCCCCACAATCCTCTCCCTGCCCAGCAAAGGAAAGAGTGGTCCACTTCATGTAATAACAGCACCCATATTAACATATTTTTTCACAGGTTATGTGGCAGTCAGTTGAAAATTCTCTGGCATGCCAAGGAGAGTAGAAAGAAAAACAACAAAAGAAGGATGCAGTATCAGATCATGGTTTTTATGGTTATCAGAACATGATACAGCCATGACTAATATTTTTAAAAAGTGAAAGAAAATGCATCAACTATGAAAATTTTCTCATGGAGTCTAGTATATATAAGAAATTAGTTAAATGAAAATTATAGAACTATTAAATAAAATAACCAAAACACAAGATAAGTGGGTTTGACAGCTGATTAGATACAGCAGAGCAGAAGGTAGTAAATTGGAAGACAGGCTAAAAGAAGGTATCTGTAATAGAGCTGAAAGAATAAAATAATTAAAAGGAAAAGAGGAGGAGAGATGCATGTGAGGTGTGTGATAGCCTATATTAAACATCTGATGGAGGATATAAATCCACAGACTCAAGATGCTCTACTGCCCATGTATGAATACAAAGAAAACTACACCTGCTGAAAGTAAACTGCTTAAAATCAAAATCGAAAACCATATCTTAAAAGCAATAGGACAAAAAAACAATAACTGTAACTTTTGAAAGGACATAATAGACTTGAAAGATGATGTTCAGAACAAAATGTAGAGATCCAAGGTGGTGGCAGAGTAGATGGAAGTTACATCCACTAACTCATGTGAAGAAACTAGAAATACAACCAAAATACAGACCAATTGCCTGATAACCAACTGAACGTGTTGAAGTGAAGTCTTATAACCAACAATTTACAGAAGAGACATATTTAGAAAGGTAGGAAGGGTGAAGACATAAAATGAACAGCGCTGCTCCCATGGGCAGCATCTGGGATTCCAGAGGGATATTTCAGCTTCAAAGACTCTTCCTGAGGAGTATTGGGTCTCAGTCCCACACTGGGTTACCCAACATAGCACACTGCAACCAGGAAGAGGCACCCACATATGGTTGTGAAAATCAGCAGGGATTCTGTGTGCCAGGGAGATACAGTAGTGTGTTAGAGACACAGGTGCACTCTGAAAAGGTCAGCACACAAAATCTCATTTACAGCCACTCATCCTGGGCTCCAGCAAAGAAGGGAAGAGCAGAGGAGAGACTGACAGGCTGAGGTAGAGACACCAGGCTCCCTGTACTGAGCCCTTTTCCCAAACCACAGATGTCATCTTTCTTGGGTGAAGAACTCGTCTTCAGCCTAGGGGATGCAACAGCCCCAAACTCTGGACTCCCTGCTACCCCTCCCTGAAGATCTAACACCGTGCAGTGGAGTCAGATGCCTGGGCCTGGGCGGTGGAGGTCTGAGCAGACTCAGGGGATGTCAGTGACTGAGTTGTGTAGCACAAGGGCAGGGGCTATTCACCCCAACTTCCCAGGAGCCTGCCCAGCACCTTCCCTCATAGGAGATCCACTAGACCCTCCCTATAGATACTTAATGGTCCCACCCTCCCAACTTTTGACAGGAGTTAAAAGTCAAACTTACTGACCTATCACACTCAGGCTTCCCAGGAGTTAATGGCAGATCCTGGTCAGTCTGAGTGTGTCAACTCTGGAGCAAAGGCTACTCCCCCTACTTTTACCAAGCTGACAAGTGCCTCCCCCTGACAGGACATCCACTAACCCCACCATCCTGACATTCAGTGCCCCCAATCTGCTGAACTGGGCTCCCAGCAGAAACTTGGACAGAATGATGTATTTGGCTTTTGGACAAAAGTCATTTTTCCCCTCACATGTCTCCTACTGCAGACCTCCCTTCACACCCAAATCTTGGTCTGCTTGGGCCTGATAAACTCTGCTACCCTCTCCCTGGCAAATCCCTGAGACTTCATCCTACCACAAAGGTCTGTGGGCACCTAGGAGGTGGCAGATAGGCTTGGAACAACCTGGAACTTCTGCCAAGTGGCCTGAGATCCAACCTTGGCACCAAGTTTGAACCTGTATCAATCTGGTGATCATCACTTGCCCCTACCTGGTGACTCACTGAGAACATACCTCATGCAATGTGAATACCCCCACAGGCTATTTCAGGGACTGAGACTAACAGACATCCAACAGGCAGCAGGCAGAGGCAGATCTCAGGTGCCTTGGACTTTTTGCTGATCTGTTCCCAGGCTCAGTGCTGGTGGAATCTGGTCTTGGTTCACAGCTTGGTCCTTCCCACAGACACCCAGGCCCTGCTCAGGCATTCACAAACTGTGGTTGCTCAGGGACTGTCACAGGCAGCATCTGACATTAACCTCACCAGAGTCCTCCCAAGAGGATCCAGAACCAACACATTCAGTGGCAAGATTGAGACAGCATCAAACCAGGATTCAATTACCTTCACAAGCAGCATGTCCAAAGGGAGATCTCAGCAGGCAGCAGGCCCTGCAGAGGTGAATTCAACCTCACGTGGTCAGGGCCTGCAAAGCAGCTTGCCCACTGTAGTCATGGACAATCCTCAAAGTCAGCCAATGTGAGGGTCGACCCCATGCACAAATGGGCCAAAGGCCACCAAGACTCAATTACAACAGGAAGGCTCACAAATCCACACCAGGGACATTCCTGGAGGACCCAGTTGGTGATCAAGGAGAACGCGCTGCTGGGTCCCACAGGACACCTACTATGTTAGGCCACCATACTGAGAGACATTGCAGATCTAGCTAATACATAGAAACAAACTCAAAGAGATAGCCAAAATGGGAAGAAAGAAATATGCTCCAAATGAAAGCACAGGAGAACTCTCCAGAAAAAGAGCTAAATGAAACTGAGGCAAGCAATTCAACAAATATAGAGTTCAAAAAAGTTGTTATAAGGTTGCTCAAGAAACTTTAGTGAGAACTTCAACAGCAGGAAAAAGGAATACTACAATTAAAAAATAAGTCAAAATTGAAGAATGCAATATCTGAATTGAATAATATACTGGTAGGAATAAACCATAGGTTAGATGAAGCAGCAGATTAAATGAATAACTTGGAAATCAAGATAGCATAAAACATCCAATCAGAGAAGTGAAAAATAATTTTTCAATGAGGATATTTTAAAGGACCTTTAGTATAGTATAAAATGTAATAACATCTGTATCATAGAAGGACCAGAAGGAGAATTTTTTAAATTTCATTTCTTTTTAGAGAGAGGGGAAGAGAGGGAGAGAAACACCAATGTGTGGTTGCCTCTTACATGCCCCCTACCAGAGACCTGGCCTGCACCCAGGCATGTGCTCTGACTGGGAATCAAACTGGTGACCTTTTGGTTCACAGGCCAGAACTCAGCCCACTGAGCCACAACAACCAGAGCAGAAGGAGAATTTTTTGTAAAGCAAGAAATTGAGAAACTACTTGAAAAAATAATTACCAAAAGTTTTCTTAACCTGATGAAATAAAAAGACACACAAATCCAGCAGTCCCAGGGGATCACAGACAAGATGAACTAAAGAAGGCCAATACCAAGACACATCATAATTACAATGGTAAAAGTTTAAAACATAGGAAGAATCATGTCTATAATCATTTATCTATTTTTACATATTTGAAAGAGAGAGAAATATACATCAATTTGTTGTTCTGCTAATTTATGCATTCCCTGGTTGATTCTTATATGTGCCCTACCAAGTATTGAACCTGCAACCTTCATATATCCAGAAGGTGCTCTAACCAATTGATCTACCTGACAAGGGCCAAAAGAGAGAATTGTAAAAGCAGCAAGAGAGCAAGAGTTAGTTACCTTGTAAGGAGCTACCATAAAACTGCTGATTTCTCAACAGAAACATTTCGGGTCAGAAGGGATTTGGCATAAAATACTCAAAGTGGTGAAAAGCAGGGACCTACAACTAGGACTACTCAACTCAGCAAAGCTATCATTCAAAATTGAAAGTTAGCTAAAGAACTTCTAAGACAAGAAAAAGGTAAAGGACTTCATCATCACCAAACCAGTATTACAAGAAATGTTAAATGGCCTTCCTTAAGAAGAGGGAGGGAAAAAAGAAAGAGGAACATAGTTAAAAAGAATTAAATGTCAATAAACACACACCTATCAATAATCACTTTAAATGTAAAGGACTTCAAAAGTCAAAAAACATAGTGTAGCTGAATGGATAAGAAAACAAAACACATATATATGCTGTCTACAAGAGACCCACCTCCAAATGAAAGATACACATAGACTAAAAGTAAAGGGGTGGAGAAAGATATTTCATGAAAATGGAAGTAAAAAAAAAAATCTGAGGTAGTAATATTTATGTCAGACAAAATAAATGTTAAAACAAAGGGTATAGGAAGAAACAAGGAGGATGGTACTTAATGATAGAGGGATCAATCAAACAAGAGGATATAACCCTTCTAAATATTTATGTACTGCCCTGGCTGGTGTAGCTCAGTGGATTAAGCACAGGACTGCGAACCAGAGGATTGCGGTTCAATTCCCAGTCAGGGCACATGCCTGGGTTGCAAGCCAGTTCCCTGCAGGCCAGTTCCCAGCAGGGGACGCACTAGAGGCAACCATACATTGATGTTTCTCTCCCTCTCTCCTTCCCCTCTAAAGATAAATAAATAAATAAATATTTTTAAAAAATTTATGTACCAACATAGGATCACCTAAATTTATAAATCAAATTTTGATGGACATAAAGTGAGAGATCAACAGTAATGCACTCACAGTAAGGTATTTTAACAACTCATTGATATCAATGGATAGATCTTCCAGACAGAAAATCAACAAACAGTGGCCTTAAAAGAGGCACAGATCAGATGGATTTAATTAATATCTTCAGAGCATCTCAACTCAAAGCAGCAAAATATGTATTCTTTTCAAGTGCACAAGAAACATTTTCTAGGATAGACCACATGTTATGACATGAAACAAGTCTCAGTAAAGTTCACAAGATTGAAATCATATCAAACATCTTCTCTGAGCATAGTGGTATGAAAGTAGAAATCAATCACATAAAAACCAAAAATATACATGAACACATGGTGTCTAAATAACATGTTACTAAACAATGATTTTGTTAACAATGAGATCAAGAAAGATACCAAAGGATATCTTGAAACAAATAAAAATGAGAACATAACAACCCAAAGTCAATAGAACACTTGGGAAGCAGTCCTCAATCGGAAATTCATAGCTTTACAGGCCCACCTTAAGAAACAAGACAAGCCCTGGCTGGCATAGCTCAGTGGATTGAGCGCAGGCCTGCGGACCACATGATTGAGGTTCGATTCCCAATCAGGGCACATGCCTGGGTTGCAGGCCAGTTCCCAGCAGGGGACTCGTGAGAGGCAACCACACATTGATGTTTCTCTCCCACTCTTTCTCTCTAAAGATAAATAAATAAAATTTAAAAAAGAAAAGAAAAATCTCGACTAAACAATCTATTCTTACATTTAAATGAAGAAGGAAAAGGACAACAAACAAAGTGGAAAGGTGAGTAGAAGAAAGAATATAATAAAGATCAGAGCAGAAATAAATGAAATGGAGTCTATAAAAGCAGTACAAAAGATTAATGAAACTAAGATCTGGTTCTTTGAAAAAAATAAGTGAGATTGACAAACTTTAAACTAGGCACATTGGGAAAAAAGAGACAGGACCAAAATAAATAAAATCAGAAATGAAAGAGGAGAAGTAACAACTGACACCATAGAAATACAAAGGACTGTAAGTAAATACTATAGATTGGACAATGGGTATGAAACAGATAACTTCTTAGAAACATACAATCTTCCAAAACTGAACCAGGAAGAATCGGAAAATCTAAACAGACTGATTACAACCAATGCAATTGAAACAGTAATCAAACCCCCACCACAAATACAATCCTAGACTGGATGACTTCACGGGTAAATTTTTACTAAACTTTCAAAAAAAAACAAACATCTATCCTAACTATTCTAAGAAAGTCAATGGGTAGAAAGACTCCCAAACTTATTCTATTACAGCAGCATTAACCTAATTCTAAAACCAGGTAAAGGCACTATAATAAAAGAAAATTATATTCAAATAGCCCAATGAACATAGATGCTAAAGTCCTCAGTAAAAAAAAAAATTGCAAACTGGATCTAGCAAGATATTAAAGAGATCATACACCATAATCAAGCAGGATTTATGCCAGCGATGTAAGGTTGCTACAATACCCAAAAATTAATAAACATAATACACTACACACGGTAAAAGTCCCATGATCATACCATTACATGCAGAAAATCATTTCATAAAATCTAGCACCCATTTATGATGAAAACGTTTAGCATAGTGTTAATAGAAAAAGTACACCTCAATAAAATAAAGGCCATATATGACAAACCCGTAGCCAGCATCATACTTAATGAGCAAAAACTACAAGTGTGTCCCTCAAGATAGGAAACAAGACAGGGATGTTTGCTTCCACATTTCTTATTCAACATAGTACTGAAAGTACTAGCCACAGCAATTTGAAAAGAAGAAGAAGTAAAAGACACCCAAATCAGAACAAAAGAAGTAAAATTGTCAGTATTTGCATATGACATGATATTGTACACAGAGAACTGTAAAGATTCTACCAAAAAACTACTAAAACCGATAAATAAAGTAATGTAGCAGGGTACAAAATAAACATCCAGAAGTCAGTTGCACTCCATATACAAGTAAAAAGATATGAGAAGGGGTAACTAAAAAAAT